GCATTTTTAGTGGAAGAGGACGTTGGAACCATGTTCGCTCTCTTGCTGATGCAAAAAATATTATGAATTATCTATTCAATATAGCATCATCCTCAAGGTACTGCATATTTCCAAATAGAAAAATTGCATGCTAAATCTTTCCATTTCCATCTTGACAAACTGATTTGCTGCTACTTTTTTCTTTTGTTATCATGGTTGTTAACATCATGGATCTTGCTTTCTATTTGCTTCAATTCATAACATGTTGTCCCTTCTTTCAAGGTGCTCATTGCGAGATAAGGAAGTTCAATGCAGAGAAAAGGATGAGGAAATAAGAAATCTAAAGGAAAAGGTGGTGAAACTTAGTGGTTTGGCTAGACAACTTGAGGTACAAAGGGTAGATCTTGTTCATCAAGTGAAAATGAAGGTTAGTTCATTTTATTTGTGTTCAATCTAACTCCAAGGGGTAAGGTATCACTTGATACGTGTCTGCTGATTATTACCATTTCTCTGTTCAATATTCTCTTTTGATGTCAGTTGATCCTGGAATCTTGATTCTGATTTGTTATGTATGAACCGTGTAACAGAATATAACCATTAAGCAATACTCCATGAAAGGAACCATGGATTCTGGCATCCCTGACTTGAATGGCGGAAGACGTAAGTACGAGTTGCGGAAGCAGGTAGGTGCCACTCCCCTCTTCTATAGATTTCTATTGCATTTAGTTGTTACTTAAAGTGTAATGGTTTTATAGGAACAGCGAAACTCCATAATCTTTGCGGAGGACATGGATACATCTGAGTCAGAACATTCAGATATGGATGCAAGTGATGATGACGATTGGGTGCAGTCAGAAAAAAGGCCAATAAAGAGAAGAGCTTCAAAATCTAGGGCTCCTAGTTTGGGAATTCATCAATCAGATACCAATGACTTAGAAAACATTGAGGGATGTGCTGGTGAGGTTACAGGGAAAGTTGATGGGTTATGCTGCACTTGCAGTAAGAACTCTTCATGCAAGACAACAAAATGCCAATGTAGAGCAAATGGAAATTCTTGTGGACAGTCATGTGGTTGTTCTTCAGTCAAATGTTCCAATAGAGAAGCAGAAGCAAACATGCCAAATGAGGTTGGCACTAATGAAGAGAAGAACCTTGTTGCTCAAGGTGCCATGCTACTCCAGAATGCATTGGAGGGTGAGAAGGCAGCCGAAACAAATGAAAATTGTGCTACGAGGAGAAAAGCACTCTCAGACATTGGAAACACATTGGTATCATTTCTGGTCTTATATGATAAAAAGATAGCTTAGTTTAGCATAATCCTCTCATTTTCATTCTTTAATCTTATGGTAAGTTTACTTATTTTGACAGTCTAAACCCAATGCACCAAAGCCTAATCAGAGAAAGAAATGGGGAAAATCAGTGATTCAGCTAGTTCCAGTTGCTCCACCAGCTTCACAACCAGAGAATGCTGCAGCACCCCAAAATCCAGAAAATATTGATCCTCCCAAAAAACCAGATAACTGTTCAAGTGAGCCAGATATCCCTTTGAAGTTACCAAGAGCAATGCGATCAGCTTCGTCAAATGGCAGCAAATTGCTCAGAGAAAGAAATGCGGATCAACATGATGAATCAACCAACAAGGAACCAGCTGTTCTTCACCCTAGCAGTCCTGTTAGGCCAACAAAAACATCAGAAGAGAAAGAGAACTGCCGCCGTTAACCATTCGTGGGTAAAATATCCACCACCACACTTGTCACTAACCATTTCCATGAAAAAGCATTTGCCTTTTTTTTAGTCGGAATTTTTTTGTGCACTCTTACAGATACATAAAATTGTTTCCTTGAGATCAGCCCAAGATTAATACTATTATTATTATATGTCTGGATTAAGATAAGTGGTGAGAAATGATCAAAATTGGTTTCCAACTTCAACTTTTTGTGCCTTGTTTCTAAAATGTTCAATTTCATCAAAAACCTGCTCCACATATGGTTCATTTTCATTTTTATTGGATTTGTTCAGAGAAGTAACAAATGGGACAGGTTTGTTTCAAAACTTGTTAAACCAAATTCATAAGCTTAATGGGCTTCTTATGAAAATGTTTTGTATTAGGGTTAATGGGCCTATAAAATTTTCATTGACCCTTCTTTGTCATTGGTTTTTGTTGAGTTGTGATATGTCAATTTTTTTTTTTATCATTAAACTTTTTTATATCATAAATGAAGCATCTTCTTAGCAGTAACACGTAGGTGAAGTTGTGAATTCATGTAATATTCTACATCAAGAGAATCAAACCGAAATACAAAAAAGTGTAGGAAATATTGAAGTGAAAAATGATTGTTACCAAAAGGAACATAATAGAAAATTGAGTACCTTCAAACACATTTTCTCTCACAAAGTTCCTTCCTTTTCCTCAAAATATCGAATCGATAAGTCTTACAAGTGTTATCTCTTGATTGATTAGTTTTAACTTCCAACACCAGTCAAATCTTGTAATGAACTTGCCAACTGTCAAACCGAAATCCCTGCAATAATGGTGGGTTTGGGTGTGTGTTAGATGGGTCCCACAGTTTCCCATTACATTTCCAAAGTCATACATTTCCTTTTTTTAATTGTTTTCATAATAAAAAATTGCATTTATATAACCAACTAATAATCAATCATTATATTATATTCAAATTATAATTTTAATATAATTAAATAATTAAATTCATACAAAATAAATTTTAATTTTAAATTTTTAAAATTAAAAAATCTCTTTTATATTGCTAAATCAAACCTCATGGGCCCAAAATCATACATTTCTCAATTTTATTACCTAATGCCAACATTTATTTGCACTGCAAATATACCAAAGTCGCATGGTTTTTGTCCTGTAAGAGATCTTCCATGTGCAACATTGGTTGGTTGATGTGGGATATGTCGTCGTCACTGTAATAAATAATGAAACAATAAAGCTAATAGAAAACATATTTGATGGTTTTTTTTTTTTTTGAAAAAAAAAAAAAACTTTTGTGGACCAATTCCTGTATTGGTGGAAGAATGAAAGCCCACAAAACATGTTTTATGACATTGTCCTTATCTTGGGGTTTATGTGGGCGTAGTGAAAAGGACATTAGGATCATCAGCCGCAAACTTAAAAAAAAAAAAAGGCTGGTTAATTTGTCACTAACTGTATGCTTGTTTCTTGAAGTGTGAGTTTGATCAAATGATATTGCATGGAAAGTGGGACCCTTTTTTAGAAATAAATGAAAGAATCTAAGACTCAACTTGGTTTTTATCCTTTTTTTTTTTTAATTGTTTGTGGAAGAGAATTATACAACAAAATTAAATAATTTTTTTTATTAGCTAATCATTGTGTTCAAATAATTATATTATCTCGATTTATTTATTTATTTTTTATAAAGAGGATAACTATGACAATGTCCAATGACTCCCTTTTTTAGCTAGGAAACTGATTAATACCAAATGCATAGTAAAATAATACATTCCTTGTTTGTCAAAAGAAAATGGTAATCCTAAAATAATTATGGAAGCATCCATTAAATAGATGAAAATATAAAGAGCAATAATTTTTTCATTACATTATTGGTTTTTAATATATTTTGCAGTATAAAAAATTAAAATTTATGGTTAATATTTGTTTAAATTATTTTTAATTTTCAATTAATTTTTATTTTATTTTGATATTCAATTTAAAATCATTAAATTTTACTTATGAATTAAGATGAAAGTGCATTATTGATCATTAAATAAATTAGTGAAAATTTTTATTACTTTTTAAGTAGTGAAAATGATTTTTTTCAATAAAAAATATAGAAAATATACTCTTTACTACTTAAAAATTAGTAAGAATTTTCATTATTTTATCTAAAAGTGATAAATACACTTTCAATTAAATTAATGGTTAAATTTTAATAATTTTAAATTAAATATAAAAAATTAAAAAAAAATGATTTGAACTAATATTCACCATAAATTTAATTTAAAGTATATTTATCACCCTTAAATAAAATAATAAAAATTTATATTAATTTGTGAGTTGGAGAATTCTCTTCCTAAAAATATATAGATTTATTTAAATAAAATGCTAAAATTCAGGATTTTTTTTTATTTTAACCGAAATAAAATGCTACCTTAGTTAGAAAAGAAAATATCATAGCCGCCTAGAGGAACAATTAACCACGTGTCAAAAATAAAGATCAAGGGAAGATGCATGCATGTCTTGTTTAGCCTACCAAAAACCTACTGTAATGGATGATTTACCAATTTAATTTGGCGATAAATTAGTTAATGTATTTAAAATTTAAAAAACGTGGTAGGAAAAAAAATAAATAGTAGACTTTGTTTAACAATTCAAGTTTATTCTGTTAATACTTGTTAAGATTATATTTATAGAAAATTTCTGTAATTAATCAAAATAAGGTATTAAAAGAAAAATATTTTAATTAATCTCAACAAATATACCTTAATCAACCCTTTATGAATAAAATTTTGCTAATAAGTGATCTTAATAAAAAAAAATTACTTTAATTCAAACTTTATTTAAATTAATTTAATTATTTTTAAAAAATATATCTATTAAATTTAAATTCAAATCTTAATCAACGTGGATTAATTTTTTTAGAATTTAGATCATTAAGACTTCCTTTCTTTTATTTTTATATGGTAATTTTAAAAAAATTACTTAATGGGACAATTTAGCAATTAAAAACTATATATCTTTTAATTAATAAGTGGTTAATTTATTTGATTAAAATTCGTATTTTTTGATGAAAAAATTTTAAGTTTTATCAAAATTATTTTGATGTATAATTTATAATACAATGCATCTTACTTTAATTTTTTTTATTAAAAAATATATATATTTAAAAAAAAGGAAAATTGGAGCCGAAAGAGAAGAAAATAGCCCATGGAATCATGGATCAAGCTGGTTAGAATTTACCAGGAAGTGGGCGTGGGTTACTTGAACCAACCTCACACGTTTTATATTTAGTCAAATCCACCGCCACGCCATGTCGCCACCCTTTCCATTCTCATATCTGACCAGGGATTCAAATTCCGCCACAAATATCGTTAATCAGCTACACCCAATCTCACATCAAACAACCAATCCCACCTCTCCTATTCGTCCATAACCATACATCTAGCGTACATTACTAACCTCTCAAAAACTTCCGCTCTGCCGACTGCAAAGAATAAAACTCCCTACCAAATAATTGTAATTATTTTATTATTATTTTGATCCGCTGTAAAAAAATGATTGGCTGAATCCAACATAAACCAAAAAGCGAGCTATTTTTCTGTGTGGGGGATCTCTTTCTTTTAAACCACAAATGATTCTTGGAAGTGAAGGGAGAGCCAAAAACAAAAAGAAAAAAATTGTGAGGAGTTTGATTACATGGTCCTTTTTTTTCTGATTCGTTTGCTGAATATCTGAAAATCTGGGTGGTTTTTCTTTTTCCTTGGGGGTTTTTTAAGGTACTTTGTTTGTTGATTTTTGTTCTTTTAAGTTTCCATTGAATCATCTTCTTTATATTCGAATGTTGAAACACAAGGAACGACGTTTGGGTTTTTTCTCTACTTTGTTTTGCATCCATCAAAAGGGAAGCTTTAACTTCAAAGTCTTCTTTTTTTTTTTTTTTGGTGTTTTAAATGGCTTAGTTTGAGATTCCTTTGAATTCAGTTTGTAATTGATTGAGAAAATGTAAAAGAAATTTGAAAAAAAAAAGGAAAATAGTTTTCAGTTTTATGGTTTTTTTTAATATCAAATTTGATAAATCTATTTTTAGTTGTAAAGGTCTGTACTTTACTCCTTTCCCCTTTTTCTCTATTTTTGGTTATTTTGTTTGATTAGATGGGACCAGTTTATCACTTAGGATCTTTTTGTTCTTCTGGTTTATGTCTAAATTCATTTATTTTCAGTAAATATTGTCAAAGACTGTATTCTTTGTTGCCCCCAAGAAAAGATAAAAGAAACTTTTATATATTTTTAGCACAAAAATTGATATTGTGAGATGAAGACAAGGAAAATATAAGGTTCAAAAAGTTTAATTCAGTGGGTTGCTTTTGCTTCGTCTGATTGCTTGTGTGAATTCTGTGTTGAATGCAGTTTGTTAAGCATGTGATATGTTTTAAATGCAGAAAGTGCTGATCAAATTGCCTATCAGCTGATTTGGATTTTTCTGGGGGCTGGATATTAGCTATATTTGTGTTTCATATTAGAAATTTTTTTGAAGCCAAACGATTGGAACAGCAGCTTCCTTTGGTTGATTATATATATGGCTGTGGCATTTACTCAACTTTCATGGTGGTTATGGAGTGGGAAACATCAAGATCCTAGAATTGCTAATGGATCTTCTTTAAATTCTTTGCCAGATTCCAGTTTATGGGAATCGGATAATCTGAATTTTCCACTGGTTAAGACGGCTAATATGGCTTCTTCCTCCAGAAGAGTTAAGAGGAAATGGCATAGCCGGGAAGAAAGAAAGATTGATAGGGAATATGATGTAGTTCTTGTGTCATCTGATGGAGGGTGTGTTTCAGGGTCTGAGTCCGATGGTTCTGATTACTCTATTGGATGGTTGGAGCCTCATGGACCTGGATTCCAGAGTGAGGATGATTCAGACAACAGTTTTGCCGTGCTGGTTCCATGTTATGGGCACAGTCAGGATAATATGATGGAGGATTCAAAGAACAACATTCTTGCTGCTATTGTGAACATATCGGACAATTTTTCTGCTGGTAAGAACAATTTCTTACCCATATTCAATATCAAGAATATTTTTAACTTCCAATTTTTGTATTATTTGCTTAGCAAGTCAATGATATTTTTAATCTGAGATTTAGATTTCAAGTCTTCGATACCATATTCAGAGGAAACAACCTGGAGATGAATTATGGAAATTCTATTTCTCATTCCCGAGCCTTTGACTTGTTGTTTAAGTATATTATTTATGAAACGGTAGTGGCTAAGACGCAGCAGGGCACTTGGCAGGTCATTGACCTGTTAGTAACTATTTATAGCTCCTGGATTTGTGAATTCAAAGCATATGCATCACTATAAACCCAGATGAAACTTCTTTAGGTTTTTGAACTTGTCCACTGATACTGTTGAATTGCTTGAATTGTTCAAGGGGTTTACAAATGTTCTGTTCAAGATTGCTCTTAGGTTTTGGACATTGAACTTCTCATATAGCGTTTTTTGATGACTTTAATGGTGTAATGACGGTTTGAAAACAAGGAGTTAAGTGATTTTGTGTAGTTGTGAGATCAATACTGCAATGAACTTTGAAAAGTTTCATTCAAAGTCTTGTGTGAGGTTGACCTCTTTCCTCTGTATAAACTTTTACGAAAAATGTAAATTTAAAATTTAAAGTAACCCTTAATTTGTTACTTTTACTGACTACTGCTATTTGTTCAACCCATTTAAACTGAATCTCAGATTGGTTGCATCACTTTTGTAAATTTAGGTTATATGTAGGTCACATTGAAGTCTATTGAATTTGTATCAAGGCATGCATTTTTATCATTACTTGTTTTCTGTAAGGCAATCATTGGGAAGCAATGTGCTTTCTTGTAGGTTTCCAATCATTCTCATTTATGCCTTGCTACCAAACCACAATCATGCAGTTCCAACCATTCTCCATTTTAATACTTGAAAGTTTTTTTTGTCTGCTTTGTGTTTAATGGTTGTCTTGTGGTGGTATCTGAACCGCTGCTTACCTTAGATTAAATGCCAGAAAATAAAGCTAGGCTCTCTTTATTTTTGAATGCATTCTTTTAAAGCTTTCTGGAATTTGCTGAAGTATATGCATAATGCTAAATCTGTCTTTGTTTCTGTGTTTAACTTAATCAATGTGCAGAAAGCAAAAAATATGTGGAACAGTGGCTCTCGTCTCTGCAGACAAGCTGATATCCTGGACCATTGAAGATTGCATATGAATCCATATTCTGTTGCTCCATCTGCTGGAAGAACATGGTCTGGGCTTTTAACACTGATATAAATATTGTATAAAGAGATTGTAGATAGTGTAAAATTTTAAAAAGATGAGCAAATGGAGGCGGATGGCCTGCTATATTGAATCATTGTTGCTGATAGAAGAGAATCTGAGCTACTATCACCTGATGAGCAGCAGCAATAGCAGTTAAAAGGACGAAAATTGTGTGAATATTGGATCAGACCTGTCCTTTTCTGCTGTTTCCTTTGAGACCTGAAGAGGAAGCAGATTAATGTTCATGTGTGTGTGTGAGATTTCTTGGGAGATTTGGCTAAGAAGATAAAATGAAGAAAGTTATATGCGTGTGGGTGTGTTCAATTCATTCGTGTAAATGTTGATGTACATACTAAAAACTGAAGCAGATTTATGCTTTTGTCTTGTTACTGTAAATAATATGTGAATAATTGCAAGTGTTGTGTAAATGACACAAGTCTTACTTTCTCCCAACATATGGCTGTCAATACATAACTCTTTGGCGTATAGAAACACAGTACAACGACTTGTCATTGTACTTGTTGTCGTAGTTTCTCCTTGTCGATAGGATGACCAAGTGATTTTGTTACCGGTCCATGTTTATGATTAAGATATTATATTGGCTTGCGCTTTGATTAAGACAATACGAGCTGTGAGTGCCAATATCAAAATGGTGAACAATGGCAGTCATATATCAAGGATCTTTAATCTTCGATAGTTAATCAATCATGTCAATTATGGAGATACAAATTAATACAAAAATATAAATAAAAGTAATAAAATTTAAAATTTTTAAAAATTTTATATGAATTTGATAAAAATAAAAAAAATATTTCGTATTTAACGTGTAAATATGAATTATAATATGATAATTTTTATATTTTACATGTATTTGACATGAAATAAATATATATTTGGTACACAAATACTCTTTTTGTTTGCCAGGCAGCAAATGACTTCAGAACATGTACTGATAAGGTATGAAAGGAGCATGTATTAGAAGAAGACCTCGCACTCTCATTAATCTTTTTGACAGAAAAGATCAAAACAGCTGTATGATTCTGGTAAGAAGAAAAACCAAGAATCATAAATTACAACCTTAACCGAATCTGTTTGTCATATGATACAATTTGGAAGGGCTAAAAACCGATTTTTATCCATTAAATATTCATCTAATTTTCTTGTTTGGGAAAAGGGAAAAAACACCAAGTATTAATCCATGAATATATGCTTAACAAGGAAAAAAGAAACAGTGACAAGGATTAGCATTGTCTTTTAGACACCCTGTCTAAATGGTTGAGATCATAATGAAATGGAAAACAAGATTTTGACAGAATTTTGAGCACTTATGTTTTTTGTTCAACTTCTCAAACATTTTTCTTCCCTTCATTTCTGTAACTAATCAAGTTAATAACTTATCTTATTGTTTCTAAAAATGTGAAAATATAAAAGGATTAGTTATTTTCATCCTTCATTGTAGGCTGAGATTTCTCATTGTTATTCCTTTTTATCCAAAAGCTCTAGGAAATTGGCATGCCTACAGACTAAAGTGACAATAATTTGTAATCTGTTCTTGTAGCTGCCAATAATGAAAGAATAATTTGCAAATAAAATGAGAAAAAATTTTGTTTTTCTGGCATAAGAAATTATTATAAAAGCAAATTGTATGCGTTTTCAAACTTGAAAGAGGAACAGCATTACAAAAAAATGATAACTGAATGATGATTAGAGAAAATATGGTTTGCTTATTATAGGAAGCTGGGAAATCAAGGGCACTGGCATGGTGCCATTTGGACATCCTATTCCTATATTTGAGCCTGTCAAAGGATTCAACACATAACCCGGGCGAGCTATCCTCCCTTCCATCTCTAACCCATTTGGTGCGATTTTCACAAGCATTGATTCTTCATGATCATCACCTTTGTGGATGGAATCTCTTCTTCTTTTCCTTCCAGATAGACGGATTAACAGACAAATAAAGGATGTTGCGGAAAGCTGCAAGCAATGCATATTCATGGTGGTGGGCAAGCCACATCAGGACAAAGCAGTCGAAATGGCTGGAACAGAACCTTGAAGGTTAGCATTCTACCAATCTGGGCTTAATTTATGGGATTAACATAGAAATCTAGTTAGTTGAGTGTTCCGTAACTGGTTCATGATTTTCAATTCTTTGCCATTTGCACGGTTGCATGGTTTGCATGGATTCTCTTTATTTTGTTAGAATATGGCAATATCAAAACAAGCCTGACTCTTTTTTTGGGGTAAAAGTTGCTTCTAAAATATGTAATTCTAGGAAAGAGAAATGAATTATACGGTTAAAAGGGGAAAATGTGACGACATAGGACAACCAGAGGCCACTTCCTTTAAGTATTGGCAATAGAGAAAAATTGTACTGCTGAAAGCATACTTTGCTAAATTGCTACTATTTCAGCAAAGTAATGGTTAACATTGACAATTGAAAATCACAGATATGGAGGAGAAAGTCACAAGCATGCTGAATATCATTGATGATGATGGAGACTCCTTTGCACAGAGGGCAGAAATGTATTACAGGAAGAGACCAGAACTTGTAAGCATTGTGGAAGAATCTTATCGAGCATACCGAGCATTAGCTGAAAGATATGATCACTTATCAAAAGAGCTGCAAAGTGCCAATCGCACCATTGCCTGTGTCTTCCCTGAACAATTACCATTTTCCATGGATGAAGAAGATGAAGAAACTGCTAGCCTAACATCAACTTCTTCCCCTAGTCCTGACAAACCAGGTGTCCAAAAACCAAGCGTCCCAAAAGCTCCATTCCCAAAGAAAGATTTCAGGAGCCAGTCTATGTTGTTGTTGAGAAAGGGACAACTAAAGAAAGCTTATAGTTTAGCTAAAGCTGCTAGATTTCCAATATCAGGGCTGAGCAAAAATGAGGCGCTAGAAGAAATAGATAAGCTTCAGAAGGAAATTTTAGCATTTCAAACTGAAAGGGAGTTTGTGAAGACCTCATATGAGCAGGGATATCAAAAATTCTGTGAAATAGAAGACCAGATAACAGAAAAGCAAAAGAGAGTAAGCAATTTACAGGAAGAGTTTGGCGTTTCCTCTTTTATTGATGATAATGAAGCTCGGACTCTGATGGCAACTAGGGCTCTAAAATCATGCCAAGAGTCCTTGGTTAAATTGAAAGAAAAACATGAACAGTCAACTGAAGAGGCAAGAGTGGAATCCAGAAGGATTAAGCATGTAAATCAGAAGTTTGAAGCTCTCACGAATAAATTTAATTCCCAACAAACAAATCAGCTAGAGAAGCATAAGTACGTGAGTCCAACTACGGAGGTTGATAACATGATCTACGAAATTGACAGTGTGGATAAGGAGAGACAAGATTTGGAAGTGTTGCAGAAGGAGATCGAAGAACAGCTTGAAGTAAGCTCAAATGCCTCTCTTACAATGTCACAGCTTGTAGAGAAAATTGATGACCTTGTACAAAGAGTTGTTAATTTGGAAACTGCAGTCTTTTCTGAAAATTCTTTGGTAAAGAGATTAAAATCGGACACGGATGAGCTTCAGGAACACATTAAGAGCCTGGAAGAAGACAAGGAAGCTCTGATTGAAGGCTCAGACATCATGAACAAAAGGATGAATGAGTTGGAGGGGGAACTAAGTAGAGTTAAAGATCTTGTAAAAACCGTTGTAGACCAAAATAACAGCCTCAAAACTCATTTGACTGAAGCAAGCTGTAATTTTAATCATTTGTCTCTGAAGTTACAAGCTGTGAAGATGGATGAGGATGCTGAGAATACAGGACACTCCCAAGAAGTAAAAACTGTATTGGATGAGAAACCTGACAAGGGAATGGAAGAACATGAAATTGAGTTGGCTCTTGATGATAGTTCAGCCTTAAAAGACACAGGAATTGAAATGGAAGGGAAGGAAAAAGATGTTTCAGCTGAAGGAGGAAACTATGTTGATCATGAATCAAGCTATAAGTTTGATGTTGATTCAGAAAAGAGTCTGGAACCGAGGGAAGAAGACAAAGCTGAGAAGAAATATTTGTCCGAGACAGGAAGCAGCATCCCTGATACTGAGATTGAGGAACTAGGGAGTGATGAAGGAGAAGAGCAACCAAACTGGAGGCAGCTATACTTGAATGGACTGGACGACAGAGAAAAGATTTTACTAGATGAGTACTCTTCTGTTCTTCGGAATTATAAGGAGGTAAGAAAGAAGCTTAATGACGTAGAGAAGAAAAACCGCGACGGTTTCTTTGAATTGGCGTTGCAGATAAGGGAACTGAAGAATGCTCTCGCCGCCAGAGATGGAGAGATTCAATCTTTACGTCAAAAAACGAGCTTTGCCGATGAAATTAAGGATGGGAGCTTGGTAGAACTTGAAGGACCACGTCTAAGCGCAAGCCAAGAATCTACCTTGACCTATTCTATTCAGACATCGCCACTATCTGTAGGACAGGGGAAAGCTGAATCCAATGAAAAAGTGGAGGAACCAACTGCACATGGAAGGTTCAAAGAATCTCCCAAGAAAATGGGAGAAAATGTTATGCAGGTAAAACCTGTAAGTCAAACCCGTTCTGGTTTAACCATAGAAGATAAAATACGATCAGGTATTGATGACTTGCTGGAGGAAAATCTAGAGTTCTGGTTGAGGTTCAGCACATCTTTTCATCAGATACAAAAATATCAAACTTCAGTCCAGGACTTGAACGTAGAGTTATCAACACTGAGAGAAAAAAGGAATCAAGAAGGAAGTGGAAAGCGTCAACCTTTCAAATCAGAAGCACGCCCCATTTATTCACACTTCAGAGAAATAAGAACTGAATTAACATTATGGTTGGAAAACAATGCAGTGCTGAAAGACGAAGTGCAAGGTAGATATTCCTCATTGTGCAACATCCAAGAAGAGATAGCAAGAGCGACCAAAGCAAGTGGCCGTGCGGGAGAGACTGACCTCAGTGGATATCAGGCAGCAAAGTTTCAAGGTGAGGTTCTCAACATGAAACAGGAAAACAAAAAGGTTGCTCATGAATTGCAATTAGGCTTCAGTCGTGTGAGACAACTCAAGGATGAAGTTGAGAAAGTAATGGCTAATTTGGAAAAGGAACTTGGGACATCAGTATCAACAACTGAACAATCAGGGTCGAGAACAGGGCGGTCTAGAATTCCTCTGCGATCTTTCTTATTTGGAATCAGGTTAAAGAACAAGTGGCAGTCAAAGGGACCATCAATGTTTGCATGCGTGCATCCAACATTGCAGAAACAGCACAGTTACATAGAAGAACCTACTGAGCCCTCAGGATAGACTCCTGCCTCTTTCCTTCCCTTTTTTAACTTTCATAGACACCCTCATGGAAGATTTCTCCTTTCTTTTCTCACTTTAATTCTAATAGGTTCAATACTTTCTGCACATAGAATTTGATTATTAATTCTGGTTTGGATACCTGTACGTTATGTTATACTAGTACTAATGTAGAGGTAACAGATGTTTCTGTATATGATTTACCTCCTCTTCATCCACATTTCCTTGTCCTGATCTTGTCTGTTCATTCTTTCTTTCTCTATTCATGGATTCCGGTCTATGAAATTAAAATTTGGGCCGGAATAAGAATCAAATTCCTGTGGATTTGATTTTTTTTTTTTTTTAATTTCTAAACTATCGTCAACTCCTAACTTATATTTACATGATCAAAAAAGATATCACATGCAAAAATTCTTTCAAATCCGTAATATCTAAGCACCAGTTTCAATATCATCCTAACTTATCCAAAGGTCAATTCAGCAGGACCTTTTATTTCTTGTTTGAAAGTAATCAGGCAAAAGATGGTTAAATCTTGAATCATTAATGCAGAAGTTGGCAAAGACTTTTAAATATATACGTATGCATATTTTCTTGCACGTACTATCCGTCCAGTAGATAATGATTGACGTTTCTACAGTGATGATAGTAAAATAAAAAGATTAGTATGTGACTCGAAAAAGGGTATATAAATTATAGAAAAGATTATATGAAATAATAATGTTACATTATATTTTTATTTAAATCATGATATGTAATTATATTATTAAAAAAATAATTATTTATTATATATTATATGTGATTATTAAATAATTAATATTTATTTTAATAAATTAATTATTATTTTATATTATAGGTGAAACTTTTACATTTTCTTAAAAAAAAGGTTTCGTCAAATAATAATGGTATATTATAGTATTTTATTTTTTAAGATGAAATGATAATAATTATACAATACTTTTACTTTAATAATAATATAATTTATCGTTAGATTATTAAATAATAATTAAAATATAACTCTAACCATCTTAAATATAAAATAAAAACTTTTCTTCTATTCCAAACGAAAGAATCTCAATTATAAAACTTACACAAAATAAATGTAATTTAATATTTTTCACTCAATTAATTCATACGTGATATATTGTTAGATTGATAAATAAAATTCGAATTCATTTTTTTTTAAATAAAAAAAATACACGAATTAAATAAAAGAAAAGGTTGCATGAATTGTACATCTTGAACGTTTGTATTACTCTTCAATCACTGTGAAATCTTAAAAAGAAGATCAAATTTCTTAAAAAGTTCTCTTAACTTTTTTTTTGGGTGATTGTTTTCACTTCCGATTTCAGAGGGTAGATCTCATAAAAAAAATAATAATAAAGCGATAATACAAAGTAACAAAGAACGATTAAGACAAAAATATGTATGGAGAGGAGTAATGTCCAAAAGAAAGGAATGTGGGAATCCAAGGAATGCCAAGCAACGACAACTACTTCTTCATCACTTCAAAATGGAAGTCATTTGATTTTCGGTAGGCCCTGAATCCGACAAGCCATCGCTGGCTGAACGTGATTAGGGCAGTTCTTGCAAAGATACCTATCTTTCCTCTTGGACAGCCCGCAGACAACTGCTGGTGTTTGGATTTCCCTTTAGACAAAAACATTTTGGGCAAAAAACATAGTTTGAAGGTGGACATCATGATCTGACACAGTAGACTTTCAGAAGCTATGGAACATGACATTGTTTTTTTTCCATTTTATTTGCACTGCCAACCAAAGCCTCATTTTTCTAGTTTAAGGCACGTTTGGATGTACGGTTAAAAAGAAACGTATGTGTTGAAAACAATTGAATCTTCAGAGATTCATCAATAAAACGACATTTATGACGAGATAAAAATCCTTTTCAACGCACCTTCAAATGGGTATTAAGAGACGATAGAAGTAAACCACGAAGACAAGAGCAAAACATTCAACTTTATTTTATAAATTTACTTATCTTTTTTCTTTTTCACTACAGGTAACAACGAATATAAGAGCAAAACATTCAGCTTTATTTTATAAATTTACTTATCTTTTTCTTTTTCAATACAAGCACTTGAATTATATCATAAATTTGGCTATGTTTTGACATCCTTATAACTAGCTATCATACTGTTCCCTATTTGAATTTTGAATGAAGAAAAGGGGAGGTCTCAAAACAAATGATCCTTCTATTCAGAATATTATTTTGAGATTAGAAAAGAAAGAAAAAGGAAAAGAAAATAAAAAGGTGGATTAACATCTAGCAGATGGCTCTTATTACGAGCAAACCAGGTTACGTTCCCACTATCACTATGCAACCGGCTGCTTTTACTCCGGGAGGGCAGAGACGAACCAGTGAAAGAAGCTAGAGCTAGAAAATAAATCCACCACCACATTTGGCATGGATGTTTTAATGAACTGTTGAGAAACTGAAAATGACCACCATCACCGGACATCTCTAAGATATTGTCCTTCCATCTGGAGTTTCTTCACTATAGTCTCTGCCTTTGACGAATCCACACTTTCCTGAAATTTACAAGTTTTTAAATTGATGTTACTCTAAATCAATAAGTGCCAGGATGTGGTGATGGTGAAACAGTTATAAATTCACAATCATTCCTGAAAAACTTAAACAGAGGAGAAAATAAAAAAGACATAATCAATACCTGCTCCTGAACAATGCTGTGCAAAGTGCGATGAACATATCTTGCCATACCCTTGGCATCACCACAGACATAAAGATATCCTCCTTTAGAAATTAGGCTCCATACATATGCTGCCTGAATACCGAAAGCAACAGATACTATAGTGCAGCACTTTTATATCATCAACTGTGATCTCTGTTGGTTTCTACTACTACTTACTCTATCCATCATCTTATGTTGAACATATTCCTTTTGTGGCCCCTCTCGTGAGAATGCAACAATGAGCTCAGACAGAGCACCATGTTCCACAAAGTTATTAAGCTCATCCTCATAAATAAAATCCTACTAAAATGGCCAAAAAGGTAAATAAATAAAATCCTACAAATGAATATCAACATCAGCAACCAATTACAAGACATGCTAATAATGTTGCTAAAAGATTATTAGTATCAAAATTGGATCCTAACCATTCGCCGATTCCTACATCCAAGAAAGAGTAGAGACGGACAAAGCTGTGCACCATCTTCTTTAAGGACTGTTCTTTCCTACAAACAGTAATTAGTTAAGTTATTTTCTTCTTTTTAGCAAAATAAAAGAAACATGTAAAACAGAGACTAATAAACCTGCAGAAAACCTCTGAAAGGTGCCAATCCAGTCCCAGGTCCAACCATGATAACTGGAATTGAAGGATCAGCTGGTAGCTTAAAATTAGACTGCCTGATAAAAATAGGAGCCCAGCTACAACCATTGCTTTTCTCCAGCGGAACAGCATTCTGAATTTTTCCATACAGTTAGATGTCAGGTGTTACTAAAAGCCAAACTAATGTATACCGGTAGCAGATATCAGCAACCTTTGCAGAAAAACCAATAAGAAAATGAAACATAAAAAGGGAAGAGCAACAGAAGAGATTATGATCAATACCTTCATCCAGGTTGAACACACCCCCCCCCCCCGGGGGTGAATTCTTCCAGTTGGAGTTGGACCACAAACTAAAGCACAGGTTACATGAATTCTATGGGGTACAAATCTGGTAAAAGTAACCAACCTTCTTATAAATCTTAGGTATAAGGTAATACTGCATATTATTAATATAGATAAGACAAATTCAATCACCTAGGGGAAGATGAGATAGAATCATAACGAGGCTGTAAACGAGGGGCTACTGTAGCAAAAAAAACACCAAGGTTTTGCTGATGGGAACTCAGCCATAACCTCAAGAAGACTTCTCTGACTTCCAACAAACTGTAAGTGCTCATCCTGGGAAAAATGAAGACATATAGCACATAAACAATAAGAAACAAGAATAAACAAACATGAACAGACAAAAGGGAGGAAAACAAAGGCAGTGCTAAATATCTTATCAACCTTCCATTGAGGTGAAGATAAAAATTTAAGTCTTTCTGCTTCACTGGGTTCAGTGGCAAGAGCAGCCAAGGCCATTAATGCTGACAACAAAAATAGTTTGGAAACAAACAAACCAGTTCTTTAAGCAACAAAAGAGACTAGAAGATAAGGCAGAAATGAGCTGGAAAATTTTCCTTCTTTTCAAGAAAAGGTTTTTTTTTTTTTGGGGGGGGGGGGGAGTGGGGTGGGGTGGGTGGATTGACCTTTCGCAGAGGGTTTAAGACATCTGCGTATCATGCCAATGCTGAACGAAGTGTACAGGGACTAGGGAAAGGAGGTGCCAATGAGCTTCCAATGGATGTTCCATCGTCATTGTCAGTGTGTATAGAAAACAGCAAATCCAGAGGTTGACCCAATAATCTTGCGCTTCACGGACAGTCTCAATGCAATTATCAGCATAAACACCAACATGATCTCCGGTTTCATATCTGGGACGGTTGAACTTATTAATTGCACTAAGTATAAGGTCATAAATCATAAGGCAATGTTATCTACTCTTGTAAAACCAAATCCATGGGAGTCAAAAGAACTTAAACACAGAAAAATGTAAATACTACTTGTACAGAGATTGATCCACAGAATCAATTTTTAATTTATAGTAACAAGCATTACAAAGCTGTTAACATACATGATACAAGTCCCTGATATGTCAAACTCCAGATGTATGCAAAGCGATCAGATTCAGGCTTGTGAAGCTCTCTCTGAAGGGCAACATTAACTCTGTGTGCAAATCATGCAATAGTAATATCAGAAAGGAAAAATAAAAGCAGCAGGGACGGGGGAGTGAGAAAACCAACACAAGGCGCATCTCTTATCACCTGCTTGGATGGTGGATGTCATATGAAGCATTCCCATTTGCCCTATTTGAGTAATTATCCTCAGAGTGCATTGCAGCAGTATCATGAATCACTACTCTATATTCAGGAATTGCAGCTGTATAGGGAGTAGAGGCAGTATTTTCATCATCTTCATCCCTAAGCAGTTGATCTAACCCTGGCCATAGCAATTCTCTCCTAAGGGAGGAACCAAAAACGAAAAAAAAAAAAGGAATTACAGTAAAGCTAACAGGGCACAAGATTGAAGTCACTGTCCCAAGAAAAGCTCCATCTTCACCAATTTAAGATGATACTTCAGCTTCAATAAAAAAAATGCAACCAAATCACCAAGAGAGACAACGAGACAGCTACAGAGAACAACTGAAAGATGATTACATACCGAGCAGTAAAATCATCTTAAATACATTGATCATCATCACCAAGACCAACTTGGATAAGACGTTTAGCACGTGTTCACACAAGAAAAAACAATACAGTTAGTAACAAATGCATATCAATCATTCTATCCAATTTCTCAACAGTAAAGTTTAGATGCAAAGAATCACATGGGCCACACCATAAGCTATTTTTTTCCTGTCAATAGAAGGCTGATGGCCCAATGGTGAAATCTATTTTTCTGACTCTTATTTTTGAGGCAATTCCGGAAAGATGCTCAAGAGAATGCACATGGAATATGCTTATATGTATAGTACCCAAGAAACCTTGAGTAATAATTGTCATCTGAACTTCACAATTCCCACCTGACGTTGAAATTTTGTCTCTGCACTCAATAATAAGAAGAGTGCCATCAATTAAGTCAGAAGAGTAGAATCCTAGAATAAGTAAAATTGAAAAGTACCTTGTTCAGAAAGTTGCTCATCAAGCAACTTTGCTATCTATTTCAGGAAAAAAATCATAAAACTAGATTACACAATTGCAATGGAGAAAAACAAGCAAGCAAGCAAAGTGTGCAATCTCAAGTGCCTCATTCAGTGGGAAGGCCTTGTGTCTCTGTGTCAATGTTACCTTATTAAAATGTTCATATTGACGGTTACCCAGGCCAAAAACACCATATGTAAGTTCTTGAAGCCAGGGCTCCCTTTCATTTCCCTAAAAGTTGAATAAAACAACGTAATAATGTGCATTAATTAACAAAAATAGTGAATGCTGGCATAAAACAAATTCTAAATTTGAATGTTCATTTGAGGTAGCCACCAACCTCCGTAAAGCATTTGCAAAATCTAGCAGCATTATCAGTTGGCTCCCCATCTCCATAACTACAATGTCACGCTCATCTATATTAAATGCCCCATAGTTTATGGAACACCAAAACAAATAAACAACCAAGAATAGTGCCAGTAGATGGGAGAATGAATCTTACGTGGCCACCATGAAAAAAGCCAAAGTCTCCTTTTTGAGCTTCTCTTCATATTGCTCATCATCCGCAGCATAATCATCCTAAAATAAAACATACACAATTTGATGAACATAACTGCAAATACTAAAACGAATTCTCAAGCAAGAAAAATAAAGTAACAGAATAGTTCCCTTTATATACCAGATCAACAACTTTAACAGCTGCTTTCTCATATCTTGCCTTGATCTCTTCAGCTAAAGTCTACAATAAGAAATTCTCGTATCAAAACATGAACATTTAAATAAAAACAGACATCTTTTCCAATCATGCAGCACCACATGCCAAGCACACAGTTACTCCTCATGTAGCTAAATTAGCCGCTATTGGTGACAAAACAATTAATAACAAAAATTTACTACCAAGAACTACTGACGCCACACCTCAATCTATAGTCATGTCCTGGTTTCTAAGAGTTCAGTGTGGCAAAAGCTGTGGACATCAAAACTTGGCAAAACGATAGTGCCACTAAATCGCCACTGAAAAAAAAAATTAAATAGAACTAAAGCTACAGCTAAATTCCCACAACCTTGGAGAGTGTATTAAAGGTACAGTAAACTTCAAATACTACCTTTAACCCTAAATTTCTTCATAAAATTAACTTTTAAAAAAAAATTCCCGTCATCTCTTTGCCACTTCTTAATCCTGATCTATATCATGTAATTAGTTATACCAGTAAACGAATTTTCCACAACAAATCAGTGATTAGAAGAATAAGCTTATTAGCAAATTGACATCAATTTTCGTCCTATTTTCCATCAGCAAAGACTTACATTTTCAACATAACATTCAAATCATCACACTCAAAAATCAAAATTAAAACTTTGCAGTTTCTTTTTTTTTTTTTTTAACTTAGCAAATCCCTCAGCCGATCCTGTCTGGGTGCCGTAAAAAATGGTAACTTTAGTATTACCTGAAGCGGTAACAGCGTCATCATCTTCATCACCCTTGAGAGAAATAGGCTTAGGTGTTACCAACGGCTTGACATTACGGCTCAGTTCAGAAGCCGATTTTTTCCAGAGAAAGACAAAGAGCTCCAGAATCACCGCCAACGACGTCTTTGCGATCACTGTCATAGAATCCGTTACCGAACCCCCAATGATACTCCCAATACTGATTCAACAACCTTCACCAAATCCAAGCTCGAACTCATCTTTAATCCCACAACAAAAAAAAAAACCAAATCCAAAAAATTAAAGTAACTAAAAATGAAAAATCTAGTGAAAAAAATATATAAAAAAAAAAGACCAGAAGAATTGGGGTGAGGGATTGATCAGAGCTGAAGAGGATGGAGTTGAAAGAGTGTTTTGGGAGAGGGACCCAAAGAGAGAAAGGCTTGAACAGAAAATTTAGGGGGGGCGAGAAAATTGTGGGCCTCCGTACATTAATTTTTTGTTTATTTTTCGTACTTTTATAAATGCGCTTTTAATGGGAACAGCTTTCAGGTTTGTTTTCTGCTTTCCGTTTCTCGTGTTCGAATTCATTACAGCAATCGTTGACGAAGCCCCCAAAAAAAAAAATGTTTTTAATATATATATTTTTTATTAAATAATTTTTTTAATACTTTAATATATTCGTCTTTAAAGTGATTAATTTGCTTGCTTTTTCGAGGAGCGTTAACCAGTTATCAGGGTCAGGGAAAATGGAAAGAAAGTTTCATCATTAAATCATTTATCACTTTTCCTGGAAAAGTACTAATCTCACAACTGTGGTTACCGAAACACAATGGCGAGTAGTGACTGTTATTTTTTTTTTATCGTAATTTCTCGCCATGTTGACACCAATGGCACTATTTATTCAGTTACAAACATACAAGAAAATTCATATTTCTACCTGGCAAACCATGCATCTTCCAACACTTTCTTGGAACCAAATCTGAAATTTTAAGTTGCCTTAAGCAATATTCCAGTCATTTTCGAGTATATTCTTCAGCTTTTCAATTTGATATTCAGGCAGGGTCATGGTCACAATCTTCCCTTTGCCACCTTCTTTTTCTGGACCGGGAAGAATCAGAACAGTTCCCTCATCGCCAACTCCATTAATGGTATAATTTACAAACACTGGTTTCTTTCCCTTGAGTTTTAGTCCATAAAGATTTGCTTCTTCCAAGTCTACAAATGTCAAATTAGCACCATATACTATAAAATCTGATCCTTCCTCATTTCCTTGTAGCAATTCCTCAATCAGACCATTCTCGGGCATTCTTTTCTCAGCAATCAGCTTAGCAAGTTCGACTATTTCGCCCTTTGAGACAGAAAAATCTGCCTCGACTGTGCTCAATGTCATGCCATTAGTTGGCATTTCATTTTCTCTCATCTTCAGATAATCATTTGTACAAATTGTAACAATCCTTGGACCCGAATCCTCTCTGATTTTCGACAATGATTGCCATATTATGGCAGAAAGGATTTCGAAACAAGAGATATTATCGATTTGGCTTGGCTGATAAGTTGTTGATTCGATGTGGTGAAGTTGTTTTGCTGTGACATGGAAACAGTGAGTTTCCATTTTGCGGTTATTGGCAGTTATCCAACAGTCACCAACAGGATCAACCTTTTTCAAGGAAAATGGTTTCCCGGGAATCGAAGGATTTGGGGATTCAGATTTCTTAGGATTGTGCACCTGGAAAGACTTTGATGGAATTTGCCCAGCCATGATCTGTCCCAACATATTGATGAAAGCTGAGGCTGAAAATGCATCTCCTAATATATGTGCCCAGCTGAGTCCTACTGACATGCCTCCACATTTGAACCAAGTGAGCTGATGGCAAATTAAAAGGAGGAAATCAGTTGATGTTCTCTTATATAAAGGAAATGGAAGTAAATCAACAAATTTCCTAAGGATAAAATTGTTAAAAGGAAAATTTTGAGGTTTTGGGTTTATAAATTTTGTAAACCGTTCATACTTTTACCTATTTTTACCTCATTAAAAATTAAATTTAAAAATTTAACAGTCTTTAAAATAAAGATTCGATGTCAAAAAATATTAATTAAAAATAATTAAATTATTATTTAAAATTTTTTTTTGTAAACTTATAAATTTTTACTCTTAAAATTTTTAATTTATTTATATTAATTCATTAACGAGGTGAGACAAATAATTTGCAGACACTATGTATGTTAACATAGGAAATTTTTTAAGAAAACTTATCGTTTATGAAACATAGGAAAGGCAACAAATTCCAATGAAGGGTCAAAATTGGTGGATGAAGACTTATTTACCATCAGTCATGACTAAAACAGTAATGGTAGCATTTATTGTACGTATATCCCAAATACATTAACATCGAACCGCCTATCACATATTCCTCTAGCCTTTTTCTCCCTTCCATTATCATCGTCCTTAAATTATAATAAATATATATTATTATTTAAAATTAATCGTGATACTTTAATTTATAAATTTATAATTTAAATATTATATTAAAATTTTTTAAAAATTTAAATATTATATTAATTGTTTTATTATAATTTAAAAATCATTAATCACATTAACTTTATTATTAATTATGATATATATCTTGACTCCGGCTATAATGGACAAAATTACCGAATTTGGTGTTTAAAATCAGGCCAGGAAAATTTTGAAACTAGCTAGACTTACCCTGTATATATATGGCAGTGATTATAATAAAGAAAATTGTAAGAAATAATACCTGTACAAAAACCAAAGGGGAGAATCCCAAATCAGGACCAAGTACTTGGTTATATGCAAGTAAATGATCAGGACTTTGATGATTATCATTGGTTGCAAGCCATTCATCGATGGTCTTATCACAGTTAGCTTCAACAATTCGGACGCCACCATCGTTGCATTTAATAAACGGCCTGCCTGTTTCGGATCTCCGAATCCTCCCTGAGGTAGTGAAGGAGAATTCCAGCCATTGAAACATTGGTTCTTTCAAGTCACGGACGGACAGGTCCTGGACTGCTTCACTTTGGAAGAAATAAACACCCTTTATGTAATGGAGCTTCATTGCCAAGTCCATGTTAGTGAGCTCAAAGTCCTTGTTGTCGCCTGTTACTTTGGCTGGCACCACGGATGAAAGTTTTTGGCCCCAAACAGGGCTTTCCATGGCAGCTGCGACCATCGTAGGCATAAAGAAAAACTGTAACCCCGAAAAGAAAATTTGGGAAATAATAGGTTTACTCTTCCAAATAGAAACATATATTTATAATTATCCAAAACAGGATAGCAACAGCCGCTCAAGCCAGAAGCCAAAGGATTTGCTTTGAAGGAGCTCTGGATAGGTAGGCGGTAGTTAAAGAACTAATTAATGACAACATGTGATGTGTACACCAGGGCACTTCATATTTTTTTTAACCTCAATGTGCTTACAAGTTTTATAGTACTAAAGCTTCTTTTAATTACCTCGTGGATCAATCCTAAAACTTTTTTGTACAAGGCGAAGCCTGACATAAGATATAAACAAATTAAACAGTAAAATTAATGGAAATGAAAAGATTAAGATTAATATTAAATGACCGGAATTTTTGGGACCTTTTCATTTTGGATTCACTTCTACTTTTGTGTGATGCAATAAAAATCATATAGCACAATTATAATATGGTAAATAAAATTTAAAATGCTGGTAGCGTTGGATGTCATGTCTTGACATTTCCATTTTTATTAAATAAAAAAATCCACACAAAATCTTTTAAAATGACATTGAAATAAACGTTTCAATTTTGTATCTTGTCAGTATATATTTATCTAATATTCTAAGAAAATTATAATATAATTATATATATATCGGATAAATGCATTATTGTCAACAAAAATAAATATAATAATGAATGATCATGCAGGGTATATCAAATTTATATATTGAGAGAAACGAATTCTTCTTTCTGGCTCAAGTATAAGGTTGAGATTATGGCCACCTATGCTAATGCCCGTCAATGTTGCTCACAAAGCTTAAAGTCGCTGTCAGGGTGTAATTTTTTGCAGCTAGCGACACAGTAACATATGGGTTATGGCTGAGTATATCATTTATAATTTTTATAATATAATTAATAAATTATAATTTAAAATTATATAAAATTCGTCAAAATTTTATATAAAGTTTATGATAATTAGATAAGTATAATATTATAATAAAAAAATTTAAGTAAAATATTACCAAGCTATGAATGATTAAAGTGCCACGTTACTTTTCTAAACTATATCCAAAATTATTAATCTCTTGAAAACAAGGTGTTACGTAAATTCAAACTTTAAATTAGAATATATAAGATTTTATTACTGAATATTATTATAATTCATTAACACGATTAACAGGAAAACACATATATTCTTAAAATATATTAAAAAATAATTAAAAGATATAACATATGTTCAGTATTTTGCTATTGAAATTAAAAAACTTTATTGACAATTTATAAAAAATGAATGCCGATATATATAATTTTATTAACGATGCCTTATATTAAAATTAGTTAAAATAGTCCCTAAACTTTTAATTTAGTGGTCAAAAACGTTTAAAAAAATATTAAAAGCTTCGTTTAAAATCAGGCTTCCTTTCCCTCCTCTTACTTATACTAAAGTTTTGTCATCTTAATGTAATACAAAAAAAGTTAATTAAAATAGTATTTACAATAATATTATAATATATTATTATTAAATGTGGCGACTGATAAATAAAATGATTCAATGAATAAATTATTTAATATATAATATTTAATATAACATATATTGTTATTATTATTATTATTATTATTATTATTATTATTATTATTATTATAAATTAGATAAAAATGTAAAATCATATATCTAAATAACAATTTAATTAACTTTAACAAATACTTATACAAGTTTCTTTAATTATATCATATGTATATGTATATATATATATATATGTATGTATGTATGTGAATGTAAATATGTTTTGTCTTGTAGTATTTGCTTTTATTAAGATTGAACTAACAAAGGCACGTCCCTTTTGATTCAGCAACCATCAATGCTTGGCATGAATGAAGTGTAGGGCATAGATTAAAATAATAATTCAAGAGTATTAAATATGGTTGTTGAATGTTGAGAGTTATCAAGCGTGATTAATATTATTAAGATTGAAAATTCTATTTTTTTTTAATTTTTTACATATTTTAGTTTATCTAATTAATTAAATATTTTTAAAATTTATTATAATGAAATTAAATGTAAAATAAAATATAAAATTTATTTAAAGTTTATTTAAATTTTATTTATTTATTATTCGTTTATTGTTTATTTATTGTTCGTTTATAATAATACTAATAAGATTATATTTTTATCATTTATTTTAATTTTATTTTAAGATTCGTTTATATTTATTTGGATTCATTTAGATTCGTTTAAGGTTGGTTTATTTATATTTATTTAGTTATAATTTATTTATTATTTATGAATATATTTATTTTTATATGATCATGAATATATTCATTTAATATTTATGAATGAATTCATTTAACTTAATTGAATCAATACTAATCAAATACAAATAATTTATTATTTAAACGAATAAACATAAATAAATATAATAATTTTTTTAATAAATATGAATCAAATATAATATTATTAAAAATAAATAAATAAACATATATATTTTATTCATTTATATTCAATTTATTTCCGATAGTAATATTTAATATGTGTGAGCCAATTTCACGTGCATCTTTTCCATTGGCTAGCCATAATCGACTCGACAACGAGGAAGAGAGACAGACCTTTCGGTCCGCAGGCCTGAGGCACCACTCTCTGTTGGAGCTAGGGGCCAAAATTTTTGCTGGATTTTGCTAATATTAACAAAATTTTCTAGCTCGTGGTTTTCATCCAATAATGGATTTTAATGCGATAACACCAACTGTGAAGGGAAGAGTTTGGTCTACCAAAGAAATCAATGACCACAAAAAACTTTTGGCTTTTCTTTCACGAAAAGGAATTCCCCAACTGTTCAAAAGGGTTGCATTTAATTTTCTAGCTTGTTACGTGATAACCACATAACCCCAAAATTCATAATTTTCTAACACATCATAAATAACTTTAATTTGATCATTTATTTATTCAAATCATGTTTGTTTTACATAATATATATATAAACTATAAAAATTATCGATTTACAGATTATATCAATATGCTTAATCAAATATATATTTTTTATTTTTTTAATCTCATATATTATTTTATTAAAATTTTTAACCCCATCGTTTTTAATTTTTATGATTTTTTTATCATCATAAATTCATTTAATAATAATTATAAGAATGAATTGTTTATGAAAAAAATTCACAAGTCAATTTTAAAAACTATTATTTATCAACCGAATATTAGCTCACATGACGCATGTAATAATCAAAATTTTGAAAATTATGGATTTAAAAGAATTCAAGCGCATAATATCTTCTTCAAATAAATTAAGTAGGGGTTAAATCTATATTACAAATAAATATATGTTATTATGTATTTTTTATTATATACTTTTAAAATTTTTTAAATATACTTAAAAATTATATGCAAATTCTATAATACTGCAAACAAATAAATAAATAAATAAAATTTTAGCAAAGATGTATTAAATAAATTTTTTATTAATTTAGCAAGTCTATAGTTTTTTTTTTAAATTATATATATATATATATATGTTTCCTCTCAACTTATATAAGGTAAAAGAGCACATCGTTATAAATATTAAATTTAAAGCAAAAGGTTGTAATTAGATTAATTAAAAAAAAAAAAACCATGAAAGTTTGAATGTTGGACTCCAAATTATAGGAAACAAAATTATATATCAAATGCGCAGAAAATAAAAAGGGATTTTTAACATACCCATCAGTTCAGAACGACGATTATACGATAAAAAATTACATAATTTCAATACATTTTTGGAGTTCAATTTTGCAGAAATTTCTCCTTTGTTTTCCGCATACAAAAATATATGGATCGGGTTTGGAGAGTGCCCACCCACTTTAGGTGGCCCAGACCATCTCTTTTGGTCCATGAGATATGCAAATTCTGGATGGGCTTCAACCACGCCGACGGTCCAAAGACTTGCCTCCAAAATATGATTGAATTCAATTTCAATTAGTTTCGATTATAATGGTTAATACGTTTAAAATATTATATTCGTATTATATTTTATATAAAAATATAATTTGCATAGATATATAATATAAAATATAATTTTAAATGATATTATTTTTAATATCATTTTTATATCGTATTAAAATTATCGACTCTAAGCATTTTATATGATTTTCAATTTTTGCAGTATGTTTTCTATGCCGAGGTGCAAACTAGAAAAACTTGTCTCGACACTTCTCATCTACAACGAAGAAAAGCGCAGAAGCAACCCAAAAACAGAGGAAACAAAAGCAAAAAAAATGCACGGTCGGTCCTGGAAAGCAGCCAAACCAGAAGACGAAGCAGCTTCTGCTGCCAAAGCCCAGAAGCTAGGCGCTCTTCAAACTCAATTCTTCTCATATCACCACAATAAAATGTACTTTTTTACTTTTTTAGTTTTTAATAATTTTTTTTTTGCACTTTCTCTGGTCTAAATAGTATGATTTTTATTGTTATTTTTTCAAATTTTGATAAAAAAAATTGGTCAGTTACACTAAGGAGGCTGTTGAAGTCAGTGCCAAGCTTCTTGAGATCAATCCTGAATCCTACACCGCCTGGAACTATAGAAAACTCGCTGTTGAGTACTATCTGAGTCAATCCGACTCTAATCCTGACTCAGTCAAGTCCATTCTCGATGACGAGCTCAGAACGGTGCGCCACTTATTTACTGGAAATTTTTTATTTTTGCTGCACTATTTCAGTTTATTTAATATGATTTTTCCTTTTTTTTTTTTTTAAATTACGAGTTTTTGACTTTAGATTAGTGAGTATCCGAATGATACTTGAGTTTTATAAAAGCTATTTTGCTTTGTTTTTTTGTAATTCTGTTTCTTTCTTTATATGTAAGAATAGAAAGAGAGCTTTTTTCTTTGTTGGAATGTATTGGTTGAATGAATTTGTGTAGGTAGAGAGTGCATTGAGGCAAAATTTTAGGTCTTATGGAGCGTGGCATCATCGTAAATGGGTTTTAAGCAAGGGTCATTCATCGATTGATCACGAGCTGAGATTGTTGGACAAGTTCCGGAAGGCTGATTCTCGTAATTTTCAGGCATGGAATTAAATTACTTTGGCTTTTTGGTTGTTATTGTTGGTGTATAGAGGTGTGGATGATTCTTATTTTTGTTCCATTCATGTTTCTTGGTATTGTTTTCTTTTTTGTTTTTCTTCCCAGATTTGTTGCAGAGTTGATGAACAGACCAGAACAGGATGAATTGAAGTATACAGAGGATATGATTTATACGAATTTTAGCAACTACTCGGCATGGCATAATCGCAGGTAAAACTGTTTCTTTAACTATGAGGTCCAGGTTTTCTTTGGTGCTCTAATTATGTATATAGGAAATGAATACCAATTCTTTGTACAATAAAATAAATTAATTATTTTGCTAGTTGATTGTCAATGTTTGCCATGGTGAAGTTGCTTTATATTGAGGTATAGTAGTAGTGACAAAGTCTATTAAGTTCTAGCAATTCTGTATAATTTCCTTTGTTGACATGGTATTTGTTGTCAGACTTAGGCTCTAATTGGTTTATCCTTTTTTTTTCTTGTATTTATGAATCTTCATTCAAAATAGCATGTTAATTATTGGTATATAATGTTTCTCCATGCTGAATATGTCTGCTGATTACATATACTGTATGAATAATTTTTGCAGTGTATTATTGTCTACTTTACTTGAGAAAAAGGCTAAAGGATTTCTCTCCAAAGAGAACGTCTTCCCAGAGGAGTATGAATTTATACACCAAGCTATATTTACAGAGCCCGATGATCAAAGTGGATGGTTTTATCATCTCTGGCTTCTAGAACAAACAGTTAAATCTGACTCTTCTCTCCTTATTTCTTCTTGGCCTGGTCATGGTTCTGATGTCCTACTGGTAGATAGGTGCCATAATATTTCTGCTCTTTCTGCATTCACAACTTTACAGTCTGATTCTGGGTCATTTCCAATTGTTCTTTATTTCAATCAATCTGTTGAGGGTGTAAGCTCATCTACAATTACTGTTGAATCTGGATTTTATAAAAGTGAAGATCTTGTTTGGAAACCACTTTCAGCAAGAAACTCACAAACTGCACAAGTTTGGGTTGCACATTTAAAATTTCCACCGTCAGAGCTTCATTTTTCAGTGGAAGTTAGTGTTGGACATTCTAAGGGAATCACTTCAACAAGAGGACTTCAATGTAGCTATCCTTCAATGTTTTCATTTAAAGTATATGTACAGCCTATCGAAAGAGATTCCTCTCAAGGTTCAGTTGCAGAAAGTATTTTATGGAGAGAAGAAAATTTTAAGCTCTAGGAAGCACAATCTGAGGAATCAATTCCTATTGTCTCTTTTGATCAACAAATTATCAAGAATGATCCTGAACCAACTACATCTAACTGGCATGCGGAGGCTTTAGCTAAAGAGATTGAATGCTTCTGTGAATTGTTATCATTGATGGACTGGTATAACTGGCTAACTTAACCGGTACCTTATTAAACTTTTAGGAATCCACATCGTTAATATGACGCCTCTTCTTTTTCTTTTTCTTCCTTTTTTTGTAGTAAAATTGGAAAGCTTATACTCGCAAGATTGTTGATGGCTTATGATGCAATGTCATTTTCATGTGCTAACAAACTGGTTCATTCAGAAGTTCTTGAACTGTATAGTGATTTGATGAAGTTGGATCCGTCACATAACCAGTACTACAAGGATGAACATAGCTTAGTCTTACTTCAGCGGGTGAGTACATTCTTTTCTCGGTGTCACCAAAGGCATCACCATTTAAGCTTTAGTTTTGGATTGTTATTGTTTCTGAGGTTTTGTATAAGTAGCCAGATGCTTTATATAACTTTTATAGTATTTGTTTTACTTGTTAGGTTAATTTATCTAGGTGTTCTTGATGTTAGATTAGTCCAATGAACTGTCACTTGTCCATGAGGGGAAACAAGTGGAACAGAAAATAAGCCTGAGGAACTGTTCAATGTATATTTGTTTGAATTAGTAGTTTCTGGAGAAAAAACTTTCCCTTGATAGCTGAAGTTAGGTATTAGAAAGTTTCTCTGCATGTTTAGTCCTCTAGTTGTTACAATTTTTTGACCCCCAGTAATGATTAGATGTAAGTTTTCACTCTTGTTCTAACTTTTGGTATAGATTGTTAGATTTACATGAGGCTAACAGAAAACCTTTATTTATGTATTCTGTAGGTGACTTCTAGTAGAGAGTCTTTGCTGAAACACTGCTTTCAGAATACAGAATCAGTTTCATCGACTATTTGCAATCCTATCTACCAACTGAATAATTTATCGCTATCACGAATGGGAGCTTTTGAGAAATTACTATGGGTCCAAATATCAGATCTCAGCCACGATAAACTACAATCAATTGAAGGTATAGTATGCACACTATTGTTCGAAGTATGTCAAATTGGAGGCTGTTCAATAAGTTCCTTATACTTGAGCTGCCCTTAGTGTTTCTTATAAATTCTTTCACTTCGTACCATTTTATTCTTAAAATTACAAAAACCATGAATTCATGTGAATGTAAACTATGCATGATGCTCCTTGTTTGGGCCTTTTTTTTCCCTTCATATTTGTAGTTTGCAATGTGACTAATTTTGACCTTACTAGAGTTGTATGTACTGATTTGGAGTAGAAATTTTCAATTTTGTTTACATATAATCCTTTTAACAATTTGTACTTAACTGAATGTGTTATTTTCATTAATTTAATGGTAGGACTGGAAGCTATGCAGCTTCTCTCTTGCTTGAGTTTGAAAAACAATATACTGAGAAGTACTGCTCTGGATCCTTTGAGAAAGCTGAAGTCATTAAGAGTATTGGATATTTCATACAACCAGATTGGTGAACATTCTATTGACACAACAAGGTACTTGTGCTCTTCTCCTTTGTCTCATTTAGTTGGAAGCAAATGGAACAAGAATGAAACTGTGATCGGTGATGTTGCTCTTATTAACTATTGGGAGGCTTTTTTTATTTTTAAAGAGTTGAACTTGAAGCAATTAGATATTGTGGGGAATGCAATTGCTGATGAAAAATTTAAGTCAATTCTGTTCAAGGTTATGCCTACACTCAAGCGACTGGATGGTGAATTATTGGGTTAATCTTCAATTTTTTTTTCTTGGTAACCACTCTACATCTGATATAAACTTTAGTCCCCATACATCCCATATTTTTGGAGTGATATGAGAATTTTTTTATAGTAACATGAGAATTTCTTGAAGAAGATGTTATAGTGTTAAAAGGTGTTGACCAATTGTACCTGTATATGGTTTAGGTTATTGGCTGTCTGGTGCAACCATACATCGTGTTTGTCCCACCAAAAACAAAGAAAGAAAAATCCTTACTTTTTAGTTTTTACAGTTTTTAAGCTGTTGTTATGCTTAAATGGGTTTCTCACGTCTAAGCATTCCCCTCAATTCATCTTACCATTTTTGCAGCGTGCAAAGTTAATTTATTACTTAATGCAGGATCCGGCTAGGCCTGAATCGGGGATGGTATTGCAGAGGGTTATCTGGCATGGATGAGATTGATCGAGTAAATGCTATCAAAAATGAAACAGACATGGTCGAAGGCGTAGGAAAACATTTCAAATACACTTTCAAAATGAAACATAGCTTAATGTGGGAAGGCAGCCCCATTGAAAACCTATATAAACACAGCAAGTCAGCTACCGCTGTGCTATAATTTATTTTTTTTGGCCTCGATTTTTAACGGGATTAACTGCCTTCCGAATTGGTCAGATAACATCTACAGCTGCCTAGAGCCATTTTCTGTTGGTGGAATAAGGTTACGCAGCCAAGCTGCTATAGTTAATTCAATCTTCAAAATCAGCTCAGGTTATTCAAACTATTTCACAATTACGAATGGCTTCAGCTGATGGACATCATTACTGCTTTCCCATCTGCATCAACTGCAATGGAGACTTGACCAAGTTCTTTAGCGCTTCTACTATGTTAGCAAAAGATGGCCGTTCAGCGGGATTGCTGAAAACAATAAAAAGCAACCATTATCAGGAAAAGAAAACATGCAACTAATATAAAGGAAAAGAGTGCAATAAGCAATTGCTAGTATTCTCAGTACGACTTTAGCAATCCGAGAAATGCTTAGCACAGGCGTCAACAATGGCACTTCTAAGATACCATGAAAATAATTGTTTAGTGAAACTCAATCTTCATTTTCCAATTTTGTTTTATTTTATATCAACCTGCATCCAACTACAGTAACCTGTCCCTTTGTTTTGCCAGAACTACAGTAACCTGTTAAGGAAACATCTAAAGCAAGCTGGTTGCATGACCTACCCAAACCCGGCTGCGATATGCCCTCCATGGCAATCTTTTCTTTTCTAAGGCTAATGCATACACATAAGAGGTATATCGAAGGGCAGTGAATAAATGATAGGACTAAGCATACTCACTCAGCCCAACATGATTCCATAAGGGAAGCCAACTTTGGGGAGGTATTAGGAGGAATGGCGAGCCTTCTGTTCTGGTAAGCTACAGCACCAACCACCTAAAATGTTTATGCACCACCATTAGACACAAAGAAGAGGGGTTAAGGGAAAAAGTAAAAATAGACATGCAAAATTGGAAAATGTACTTGATGACCTTTAGCTGCAATTAACTCCCAACAACAATAATATTGACATTTATGATTACACAGGTAAGAAGACACACAAGAAAAGAAGAACCAGAACCGAAAATCGGGGAAACTAAATATATCCACCTGGGCAGGACTGAGTCCACTCCAAGGTTGTTGCATGGTCACAAGCTCCCACAGGATTACTCCAAAACTGTAAACATCAGATTTCTCATTTGAAGGTTCTCCACGGAGGAATTCCGGAGCCATCCACTCAGGCTGAAAGTAAAAACAAGATATTTACTTGCTGATTGATGCAGTAGAAAGAAAATTTTCGACCCACAAGAGATTGACAGCAATATCTGACTTTACATGGAAACATAGGATCCAAGTCCGCAATCATGGTACCTATCCATCATTGGAAAGAACTGGACAGGGACAAGTTTTTATGATAATGAATATGATTGTTGTCTTTTAAAATAGAATATTAAGTCATGATTTGAAATCAACTCACAACTCATATAGCAAACCAACAACAGCTGCAGCACTGTATATTTGGTATTGCATTTGGCAACAATTGGTGACTGCTACTCATATTAAATAAAATATTTAAAGTTTTCGAAATAATTAAATTTAAAAGCGAGCTCAATGACCACCTATTGTGTGTGCACGTGTTTGTTTGTCTCTTTGCAAGAGAAGCTTATGCGGTACTTACTGTTCCCGCAACAGATTTTGATGATATAAAAGTGTCTGCTTTGAATCTGGACAATCCAAAATCACACACCTATGCACGACATTAGAAGATGAAGTCATTGATTTGAAATGAGCAATAGAGAATTTCTCAAAATGAAAAGCTTTTTTATTATACCTTAATTGTCCAATTCTTATCAACCAACAGATTGGGTGATTTAAGGTCCCAGTGAACTATGGAAGGATTAAGGCAATGAAGATAGTTGATCCCTTTGGCCTGCTTCCAATATAGAACATGAATTTTGTGCTAACAGCAAGAAACATTAATAGATAAAATGTGTGAGTAAACAATAGTACAAACCACATCCAATGCCATGCGTAATCGCCTCCTTTGATCAAGTGTTTCCTCAGCAGCTGGCCTATGGATGAGGCGGTATAAACTACCCCTATTTGACAAGAACCAGGTCTTAGCTATACAAATTGTTTGCACAAACAAACATCAGTTCATTATCATAGTATGAAATAAGCTTATTTACCTTGGTAGATACTCTGTCACAATTGACAGATTAGGTTGCTTTGTAACAGCACCCATGAAGAGGACCACGTTTGGATGTCGAACACGTTTCATTATAGCAACCTAAAAAATGCATAAGAACTTAAGCTATGGTTGTATCAAATGACTATAATCATCTCACTAAAGAACTTTTGCAAAAAATAGGAGTAATTAACATGAGAACTTGGCCATGTATAAGAATACACAACTTGCCACATGCTCCTTTAGAAATGTATCACAAGGAACGAGCTTTTCAAACACAAATATTTATAACTAGAGATGTAATTTTAACCATAAAGCTCCACATGCAGGGAAAAGAACCACCAAAATGAAAAATAAAATGCAAAAGGAATATTAAGATTTTTTTTTTTGGGGGGTGGGGGGGGGGTGGGGAGGGAGAAGCGTGCATTAGAACACAGAAATGGAGGTCCCAGAAGAGGAAAAGGGATGGGTATATCAAACCAAATATAGAACGTGGATGCATTGAGAAAGTGGAACCTGCCAAAAATAAAAATGTAATGCTAACACAATCTGGATAATAACATTTTTTAGGTAATATCAAACACAAACCTCTCTTAAAAACTCCTTCAACTGATCATCATGAAAATCTTGAATAGTCAATACTTTGACTGCAACATCCTGCATTGGAACAGCAATTGTTGATTTGCTTAAGGCAACAAAACATTGCTAAAAAAAAAAGAAAGAAAAATACCCCCAAAATAAGCTGATAATGTAGCCAAACAAAGAAATAAACAAATGAAGAACAATTGCTCTCCATTCCTGAGACTGATGTCCATACCAATTATTTCAAGATAGTATGGTCTATTATGTAAAAAAAAAACTTCATGTACATCATTTACACGTCTGCAGCAGCACTAGTGTGTCATATATCAACTAGCTATTGGGTGCCTTAGGCACAATCTCCATAAGTTCATTTATCATTTTATTCCGGTATCAGTTGAAGACCTTTAGCCTCTTTTATTTAACAGAATTTAAGTTCATGAGGTTAACTGGATTCCTTCAGGCATGGTTCGAATCTGCAGTTATAGAAAATGATTGACGAAGTGTATTGGACCCTCGTCAATTAGGACAAATAAAAGACATCAAGATATTCACCAAGCTTAATTGGCAAGACGTAGCAAAAAATGCATAAGAGTACTGCATTCTACATCAGATTAGGACAACTAAAAGATATCAAGATATTCACCAAGCTTAGTTGGCAAACGATAGCAAAATATGCATAAGAGTACTGCATTCTACATCAGAATATTTAAGTAAGTGAAAAAATAGATATCAGAATCACTCACCATCCATGAAAAGGAACACCAATGATTTTCATTTGCAATAAAAAAATACTAACCGATCCATGCCACTCAGCACGATGAACTGTTCCAAATGAGCCTGGAAAATAAATTTGATACAAAAATGTTAGTACTCACTTCAAAAGTATCTACAGAATAGGCCCAACTTTTAAAATTCTCAAAAAGAAAGAGGGGGGGGGGGGGGGAGAGGAAGAATAAGTTATATCCAATTAAGAAGAATTAAGAGAAGTACCAGCACCAACGCGCTCCTTAACATGCAATTCATCCCATGAGATCTCAAGCCAATCCATTGCAAGAGAAGGTTCAAGATTTAGATATCTTGGGATGGTTATAGCAAAGAATCTGCTGTGAGTATCAAGTTCAGCCCCTATCTCCTCCAGATCTGACTGACTAGGCAAGTTAACTTTCAATTGCTTCACACTTTTTACCACTGAGCATCCAGATACAACAATCTCTTTTCTAAGAGTTTGCTCTATAGCGACTTTGTCTCCCCGGAGTCTGGAATTTTTATGCATTGTTTCTCCAGTTGCAGTTTCAAAAGGCATCAAAGATGATTCCTCTCCAAATGAATCTTGATTGATTGGTGCATAAGCTAATGTCTTTTGATTTTCAAGCAAGCCATTGTCCTTCATCTGTTGAGATTTCTCGGTGCCACCTGCAGGAGATTGATATACATTGTTTGATTTGGTTTTAAAAAGTTCGATCTATTTTGCAGAATTTGTGTCCAAAACATCACATACCAGAATGTAGAGAATTCTCAAAAAAAGAACATGAATTCTGTGAGTCTACAATCTGACAATATGATGCATTATCCATATAAGGTTGTTGAAATTCTTTTAGATGAGAAATTTGGAATGCTGAAGGCATTGAAGAAAGGAATCCTCCATTGATAGAGGAATCAGGACCATGGATATTTCCTGGCTCCCCGACTAGATCAACTACATATTCCCTGTTATAGAATGTAATTATCTGAGCAACAAAACATCAAAATAGAAAGAGAAAACTTTTAAGAAAGAACATTTGGAGAGTAAAGGAAACAATTCCTATCCAGGCATAAGAATATCATACAAGAGTATCAAGTCTAAAAGATTTAGACACTCAAACAACATAAAATGGACAAGTTTAAAGAAGAATTGATTTTCTCGATGCAAGTATTCTAAAATGATGACATAAATTGTTCCTATTTGTTAACTTCCAACCTTTTATTAGCAAAAAAGAAAAGCTAAAACTTAAGTACCTTACCTTGATGACTGCCGGTCATCTTCAATTTTGACGAGGCAAGAAGAACGATGATCTGCTGCACAATACTTGCATCCTCGAGCAATCCTACATGGCAAGCCTATATAGTCCGCCAATTTCTGCATATGTAAACAATAGACCATGTTAATGAAGGATCCCAAGACACATGTTCTGCAGTAAACAATGATGATCTCATGATTTATTACATTTGAAGGGTGAACGGGCCTACGTACACAAATACATTCACACATCAATAAATACACAGAAACCAATAAAGTCAAAACACTCATTCTTCATCCGATATCTTGGTCTAGCAGCATAAAGCCATAACGTTAAAAGGATCATGCAGTACATCACTAAATAAATAATAACCAATGTTTTGCAAGTAGATTATTCATAACATCTCCTTTAAATTGAGAAAAAAGGAAAAGATATAAAAATTTGAACAGTTAAGTTGACTAGATAACATCTGGTTTCAGAAAACAGAATTCGCTTTCAATCAAAAAAAAAAAAAAGTGAAAAAATGTGATTAAGATAAAAGAACTTGGCCTGATCCTCCCCTGAAGACCCATAAGAATCAAATATTTCACAAAAACATTGTCAATTCGCCATGGCAAGCTACAAATACCTCACGGACTGCTATAGTTCTCGAATAAAGAGTATTCATAATGGATGCGAAAGTTCTGGGTGTCACTGATGCTTTTAATTCGGTTGCATACCCATGCCCCCTGTTAAGACATTCATATATGCTTTTCAAAAATTATTGTACTTTAGGACATCACAATCCTTGTTATCAAAACTTATATATAACTAGAGGCATTTTCAATGCTATAATAACTTTTGAAACAATTATACTTCGGATCAAAATGGAAAAAAAAAAAATAAAACCAAGAATCCGCCAATTCAAATCTTCATGTACAAACAAAATATAAATATAAAGAAAAAGCTTTTAATTCCAGAGAGTAATTCTTGCCAAAGAAGAGTCGAAGTAAAAGAAACAAACATATCAAAAGAAAGAAAGGAAAAAAAAAATTAACTTCCTTTCTTAATGTGTTTGACCAAGAGTATACTTAACAAATAGGTACTAAATCATTCTTACGTGGAATGAATCGTTGTAACATTTAAGTAAGTTTCTATCTTGACACAGAATTGGGTTTGTTTCATGGGGTAATTGAGACCACAGATACACAACCCTTTATGATAACTAGGGTTTCTCAAAGAAAATGAATGCCAACCCTCTTCTCCAAACTTCACAAGATCAACCAAGTCACAGTTTGCCCTCCTGTTTTACATCCCAGCACAGATTTAATAGCAGTTTCTTATCTCCGGCTTCAGCTCAAACTACTAGCCTAATTAAACTTTTTTATGAATATTTTCAAACAATGGATCCACATTGAAGTCATTGCCACAACGCCACACCAAAACAATGAATATCTTTTCATCTAAAAAGAATAAAATACTAGAGGTTCTATCCAAGATTTAGACTTCCAACCACTTCCTAAAGGAAAATAACATCCAGTGGTTCACAACTATCTGTAAGGACCAGTAAGGGCTGGTCAAATCTAGACTTTAATTTTTCCCATCAAACTTTCTTCTTATAGTTTGTACCAATAAAAGATCAGATCGCTAAACAACCTCTTAACCTTTTTCATGCTTTTTTTGGGGTGTGTGTGTGGGTTGGTCATAGGTGTAGTGAGAATTTGTGCTGAGGAGATAAAGCACTAATAAAAAAAGCCATTCTTTTGGCACCTTAAACAGAATTGCACGATGCCTGCAAAGTCCCATGGTTAGACTGCCAATGGGAAGCACAATGCACTTCTGAAAATCCCTCAACCTCCTAACGACCAATTTCCAGCGTTTGTGAAGATCCCCTTGCTCCACTGGAAAAGTTCCCCTAAATATAAAAACAATTCAAACAAAGTGAAAACTAGACACAACCAGTGAAAAAGAAATGAATCATCAGGGAAAAAATAAATACAAACCTACCCCATGTAAATAGCAACAAGCTTTCCAAGCTTCTCGACCAAAACTAAGGTATTTTCTGAAGCACAATATAACTCCTGTGCTTTATCTTCAAGCTCTTTGAGGCGCATATCGCCGCGTCTATCAACAAGAACAACCTCCATAGATGTCTCGCTGGGTTCAATTTCTTTAAGAGACATCAAAGTTGGTAAGCGTCTTCCTTCTTCAAACTCATTACACATTACCCATAGATATGGATTCATCCCAAGAATATTATAGAAACCATCTGAGATCTTATCACTATATGATAAACACCCACTAACCTGCAAATTAAATATACAGTTATATACACCCATCAGACTAACATAAATATATTAAAAGAGTAAAAAAAACTTTTAAAGAAAATTGATTTTGTATTGCACATGAAGAGTTATTGTGTGTTATCGATTGCGCTTTTGGAGATAATCTTCTATAGTTTCGTAAACTTTGAATAAGAACACATATTTGCAAAAGAAGTGAAAATAATTTCACGAGAGAATTATGAGAAAATACCCATAGACGATAAGAAACAGTTTCTGCATCGGCGACATCTGGTCCACAATACGCTTGTAAAAGCAAGTGTTCACTGAGGAGACTTGCTTGAGAAGTAAGTCTTCTAGCCAGCATAACCTGTAAATTATAACTCTCCCTTGACTCGATGAACGAGAACCTATCTTTACTCTCTTCTGCCTTCAGTTCCTCGACTTCCCCTGTCCCCGGCACAGGCGTCGACGACGACTCCTTGTTCCATGTATCTTTAACATCACTCGACAAGTTGCCATCCAATGTCGTTCCGTGAAGCAAACTCACTGCATAAATATTACCACTTGAGAACCTCGGCAGTGACACGTCGAGCTCAAAGCTGCGGTCAACGATACGGTCATTAATGACGGTGGTGGTTTCCGGAGGAGGAAGGGGCGTCGGTGTCTGCGGCGGAGCAGGTTCCGGAGGTAATAACAACTCGCGATCTTCATCATGATCAGTACTGGAAGAAAGATGTCGAGAGGGCAGTTTCACGTGACTTGATCTGTTAGTAGTAGATTTTTTCTCGATAAACCAATCGCGGAAAGCGGCGAGCTGTTGCCTTTTGGTATGAAGCTTTTCGTCAGTAAAAAGATTCGATAGGGGAGAGTTGTTGCTGTTGTTAGTCTTAGCAGCTGGGTTCGTAAAGTCTTTTGGAGCTGTCCTTGATATTGACTTCCTGCGGTCATTTCCAGCAGTAACGTTGGAGGCGCTTGTTGTTGCTGTGGTTCCCTCCGCTGTTGCTGTAGCTGATATTTCCTTGGCGATTTTTTTCTCGTGATCCAATAGTTGCTTGGAAGATGCATCGAACCCACGATTGGGAAATTGCCTAGGGAAGAAGTAAGTTGTTCGGTGAGGCATTTTCACACGGGCCTCACGAGATCACTCTCTCTTTCACTCTTCTTCCCGTCCCGAACTTGTCAAGCTCTCTCCCCCAAAACTACTCGCTCATACCGTACAAGTACTCCTGCAAATCAAAGAAACCCCAAGAACCCAGAAGCAAGCTCTTAAAAAAACGAAGATATATTAGTGAATGAACGAAACAAAAACGCTAGATCGAAAAGCTCACGTGCGGTTGGTTTGGCTTTTAATATTGGTATAACCGAAGGAAAACTAAGGTTACGAATGGTTATGGAAGCGAACGAAGGAAGAGAGAAAGAGCAAAATGAGAGAAAGATTGAGGCTAACGAGCGCGGGATGCGTGAACGCGTACCTTATGTAACGAAAGCAAGCACACGTAAAAATGAGAAGGAAAGCGGTAACGACACGTAGAGGAGAAGAGGAGCGGTGCGCATTGCGGTGTAGGATAGCGGAATGCTAGGGGAAAGCCCACTGGTTTTCGTGATTATAAAAGCTGGAGTTGTTTGGGGTAAGGGAGGGGCATCGGCGGATCATATCGTCTGCGGGAAAAAAAATCGAAACTAAATGACGAAAATATCCTTGATTTTGTTTCCAAATGACGAGATTGGACAGGTTTTCGGTAGCTTTGATCAACGGCATGTGACGGTTTTGTTTGATGAAGAAACTTTGGAACGTGTTGATATTTTAGACGGTTTCATTTGTTCTTGTCTTTGCTTTAAAATGCTGACGAACCCTTATTTTGTTTTTCTTTTTGTTATTTTGGGTAATTTTTTTTTATTTACTTGGAAAACTGTTGTTGACACTAATTTATGGTTTTGGTTTCCTAATTTATCTTTTTATATTAAAATAATTCAGGTTTAGGGCGCTGTTTAGATTTTAATCTGAATTTTGGTGTTTGACTATTGGAATACTTGAAGGGTTCATATAAACTAATACAAATTGTTTCACTTAAACAGGGAAAATAATTGTCGCATGCTTTGCGGCATTTCTTGGATAACGATTAGAAAATTGTTGAATTATGTTCACCTAACATCTATTTTGATGAATTTAGCATCCAATGTTGTCCTTTTTTAATATTTGAAGATAATACAGAAATAGCAACATTTTTTTTGCAATCTTTACGAGATTAGGCGTAAAATACATTTTAAAAGGTAATACTAAGAGTTTGTTTTTATAAGTGACAACGAAATATTTTAATTTTATAAGTTAAAAAATTATTTTTTTAATCTCAATTTTCTTTTATTAGTTAAAAAAAAAACAGTAGTTATGATCTCGTAACGTGATCCCTCTCCCTATACGGTCACAAAGGCATAACTCTTGTATATTTTCTATATTTGTTTAAAAGTAATTAACTCTTATCGGCCGGTTTTACTAAATCGATTCAATGTATCATTCCAAGTAAATTATGTGGTCCAGTTAGATTGTGGGGTGCTTCAAGGGTTAGGTGGCTAACTGCTGTGAGTAAATCATATTAATTATTTAAGGGTTGTGTGAATAGGTAAGTTAACAGTACTTTTTGACGTTAATTATTTATAAATTTCGGTGTTAAGCTTCTTTTGATGACAAACTTTGATTGGATCAATTTGGGTTTTTCTCTCTTAATCTAATTATCATGAAGTAAAGTGACGTCCCAACTTTATCTATAATTTTGCGTGTTAATACTTTTTATTGGGGGATTCGAATTGATTTGATTTGATTTGATGTTTCCTAAATGAAAAGGGTGCTTCAAGTTGCACATGAAGGGAATGGCTTGTGGATACAACAGAAAGTGTGATGGAAAACATATAATAATTTTTTATTTAAAGCAAATGGATTAAAACAAGGGTGTTTTCCATTTATAAAAAGGATAGAATAGATCCAGCAACATTTTCCTTCTTAAAAAATAGAAAGCAAAAGCATAAGAATTTTTTTTTATTAAAATATAACTAACATTGAATTTCACCGATTCACTTCAAATGCAAGCTACTTAAAAAAAAAAAAAATACTTTTCTCTTTCCGGAGTTTCTCTTGCATGTAAAACTCATGCTCAGATCATATATCCTTTCATAACTTGACAAATGGCATGTTTGCTGATGCAACATCGTTTCGAACGGAAAGCATATCCGGCCCTCAGATGTATTTGCACTGAAGGCAATCATGTATTTGATATTTGCCTTCTGCAATTTATGATCAATTTAAATTAAAGTGATATTTTTTATTTTAATTATTTTTATCTATATATAAAATTTATACGACTGTAAGTGGATTTTCATATATATATTTATTTTCTTTTAAAATTAAAGGAGTAAATCTGTCAATAGCACACTCAAAAAAATAATAATAATAATTTGTCAATAACGTTTCGCTAATTAAAGTTGATAATTGGATCAATATTAATGGAATTGAAAAACAGTTGAGTCGTTATGTTTGGATAGTTTTGAATTTGAATTATTTTAAATTTAAATATTTCAAATTTGATACATTTAAATTTAAATTTAAAATTAATTTAATTTAATTTTGAATTAAAATTTTAAATTATTCAAGTTCATTAGAGTTTGAAATTGTTTCAAGTTTGGATTGGAATAATTCACTTTGTTAAATATAAAAAATATGACTTTATAACTTAAATTGAGTATTAAAATGGCTATATTTATTCTTCTTCAGCGTGAGCGTTAAAATAGATCTATAATCTTCTAGGTGAGTGAATCTTACTATTTGAAACCTCAAAACTACAATAAGTAACTCCTTGTAAGTGAAAGTAAGAGGCTAAGAGCCAACTCCACTATTCTTTTTCCTTTTCTTTGAAATATCTTTTGTCAATTGTCATTGTCAATAACGTAATAGCACGAGAAAAATGAAAGCAATTGGGAAATGTTCAAGTTAGAGTTAATTAGTCCATTATTAAAATAAAATAAAATAATTATAGATTTATTTACATGCAATGAAACGTAAAAATATTTAAATATATTTTGTACTGTATTTCGATGGCATACTGCAGTATTAAGTTATAAATTAGTACAAAGTTTTGTTTTAATTGTTAACAAAGAATCGTGGCGGTGGGTCCAAATTTGATGATGAAAAATGGAACTTATGGATGCTTGTTAGGGATATATTACTATAAGAGCTTATTGTTCCCAAAGTGAGCCATATGTTCCATATATATATATATTAATTGATGGTTGAGACCTGAATCATTTATTGCATAAAATAAATTTCTTCACACTTCAATTCTAAGTATTATTTCCTTAAAAATAACCGCATTTTGGTTCCAATATCACTGACACAGTAATATTGTTTCTTTTTTCTTTTAAATAATTAAGATCATAGTTATTAATTTTGTTTTAATATGTTTCAATTATATAAAAATATGGTACACCTAGATATGATTTTTTATATCAAATTTGATACTGAATAATATCAATTATTTTGATTGGTTTCAAGTGATTTCGATGACTTTCAATAGATTGTCTTGTTTTGATCGGTATGTAAATGTAAAATATATTTTATAATTTTTAATTATTTTTTTTGATTATTTTTAACTTAATAAAAATATAATTAATTGACAAAATAATTTTTAAAAGTTGAGGTTATCAAATTTTTATTATAATTTACTTTTTTATTTTATTTTTTTAAATCAAAATTTATAAGTATTTCATTTTCTTTCAAGAAAGTAATTGTACTTTCTTTCTAAAGTTTAACAATCATAAAATCAAAATTAATTTTTTCATATCTTTATTTTTATCTTAATATTTGCATTAAAAATACTTATTTAAATAACATATGATCAAATTAAACGTTTAAAAATATCATAAAAAATGTATGATATTATTTCTTATATTTTTAAATTTATTTATTTGATTTTTGAAGATATTACATATTTATTTTATAAATTATTAATAGAATTATAATGTACAAATTCATGTAATCATGTATATTTATACTAAATCAAAAAATTCAAAATAATATACCAAAACAATTAGTACTTATATATACCACAATTTTAAAAAAAATCAAAATATTATTCGGCACGATATTAACAATCTTAATTAAAATACAATTATAATGTTTGAAAATGGGTTTTTTTATCTAATTAATTACCTTTGCTCTTTGCAGTTAATTAAGTTAATTTTTTTAAGCTCTATTTGAGATTCCAATTGATAAGCTCCTAGAACAATAAATGATACGTTTTGTGACTGGACTCTTAAATGTAAGTCAAACAATCTAATAATTATCACAAAACTTCAACATTTTTATTCGCGGGGCGCATACATGCATGTTAGCATACGTGAATAAAACGATTCTACCAAAAAAAAAGAACCAATATATAAAAGGAAAAAGATGGAAAACAAGTGGAAGTGAGGGTTGATAGAGAAATTTTCATTACCTTTGGGATCAAACTTCTTTTATAGAAATATTCCTTGCAAAGATCAAACTTGCATTGGATGTTCTGTGTCATCATTGGAAAATTCGAGTCTTAAAATTCAAGATAAGGCTTAAACTTTTTAACTGGACCGATATGTAATATTGTCTAAGATATGAGGATTTAATTGATTTTTTGCAACTTTTTGGAGCTTAGAAGAAAAAGGATAGACAAGAGGTTAACAAAAAAAAAAAAAAGATAAAGAAATTGTAGCCTAATTTGTGATTTAAAAAAAAAAGCTTAAATCATAAGATGAAATATATTAAATTCTCAAATAGATAGCTCAATTGATTTATACTGATTGTAATCATTCTTAAAATGTAACATTTATTGGGTTTAAAATTTAAGATTTAATTCATGCTTTTGAAAGTAATTTTTGCATTTAAAAGCTATTTTAATTCAATTCCAACGTTAAATAAAAAAAAGATTTTTCAGTTTAAAATTTTAGTTTTATAATTTAAACTAAAAAGTTACTAAAAATCTTATTATTTATATATTTTTGTTCTTAAATTACGATCTCATTTATATATATATATATATATATATATATAACAGTTTATGAAACCAAACTAAATCTATTTGATTTCCCTTTTTCGTTCCTATATTTAACCGAGAGAATGCTATTCCTCTTTCCTTTCTCTCCGTTTTAAATGCAAATCCCACCCAATTTTCTATATCAATCATTATAATATTCCTTTGTTATATCCTTTTTTAATCCTAATTTGGTAAGAAAAACTGAAATTAATATTGACTTAATTAATCTAAAAAAAAGAAAAGCTCAGCCCATAAAGAATCAATGTTAGGCCTCCAACCGAGCAGGGTGAGTCGAAGAGAAACGAGGGCCATCGTGGCGTCGCTGAATTTGGTCTGACTTAGAAAAGAGTTAGCTGATCAATTAATGTGGGACTCCCCTAACCAAATTTGGTTTACGCACTCCCACACTACACGTGAATAAGACTGTCTCACTTGTGACAAAGCCTTTGCAAACTTCATTTCTATTTTTTATTTTTCTAAAACTTGCAATAGATTTTGTGTTCCAATATTTTAAACGACCCATAAATTAATAGTCACGTCAAGTTTTCGTCGCTAAATTATAAAAAAAAAGGAGAAATTTATGAACGATATGAAAAGCTCACGTTGTTATCTGCATGTGTCTGTTTTGTTTCCCCTTTATAATCAAACATTAATTGAATATATAATATCAAATGTTCAAACAAAAATAAAACCACCAAAATTTTGAATTTATATATCAAGTCAGAAACACCATAACAGAAAATAAGAATGTGAAAATTTCGAGTTAATCAAATAATGATGGATTCATGATATTTTTTTTTTTGTATTCATTTATAATATATATAAAAATTTGCTAATAAATTTATTAATTTATTGACATAAGCACATGAAAAAATTTAGGGGTGTTCAATGAATTTTTTTTAATTTTATAATTTGAAGGGTATCTTTATTTTTTGTTTTGAAATCTATTTGTGAACACCTTAATTATAAGAGCACGTTCGGTTCAAAAGAATTTATAAATTTTTTTCAAAATCTTATTAGTGGGTATTTGATTCCAACGTTTGATTTAAAATAGTTTGATTTCGAAAGAAAGTGATAGATTCCTAATATATTCAAAGTCCTGAAATTAAAAACTTACAACTTCTTATGGTATTTTAAGATTCGAGAAAAGTTATGTTATTTTTAAATTTGACTTTATTAAAAAATGTATGAAATAGACATTATTAATTTGAAAAGCATGTTTGAAAGTGACTGTAAGTTAGTTGTAAGTTTTTGTTACTTAAATTTTTGTTTATATTGCAATTAATGACATTTGACATGAAAATACCTTAAATAAATATTATTCAAATAAATATTTGGTTAAAAGAATACCTTAAATGATGATCATTTAAGGTGTTTTTGGAAAATAAATGTCTTAAATTATTAATTATGGTGTTTTTGTTGAATAAATGCCTTCAATGATCATCTTTAAAAAATGAATAGTATTATTTAAGAAGTTTTTGATTAAAAACACTTTAAATAATTGATTATGTTTAAATAATTCATTTTAAAAAATATATAACATGATTATTTAAAAATTTTTTTAACTAAAAACACTTTAAATAATCACCTTAAAAAATACTCCCTTTCAATTCCAAATGAATAAAAAAACGGCTTTTTAAGACATTTTTATTGGAAAACGTCTTGAAAAAGTTTTCCAACAAAAACCAAATGAATGAAAGAAAAAAAAAATTCTTTTTTTTTTTTTTACATTCATTTGATTTTTGGTTGGAAAACCTTTTTGTAGTATTTTTATTACAAAATGCTTTTAAAAAGTATTTCCATCTAAGTTCCAAATGTTTCAAAAAAAAAAAAAGGAAGAACAAGGGTGGCTATGATTGAGATCAAATCAGATTTTTAAATTGATATATGCATCAAAGAGATTATGATAATTATTAAAAAATTAACATATAAATTTTTTAAACTAAACGAGTAACTTTAAACATGAGATACCATTAAAATGAAAAAAAAAAATTGAAGTATTACATTTAAAACAAAAATCATACTTTTTTTAAAATTTAAAATTTCGCAAACTAAATAAACCTTAAGGTGTATCCACCATTGTGGACAAGGATCCCTTAATCATAGAGTGGCTTAAAATAAGATTGATAAATATAATATACTATCGTCCTCTCTTTTTTATTTATTTTCACATATAATAAAAGAAGTTTTAATTATTATATAAATAATATTATAAATTTAATTTTCTATATAATATTGATGTAATGTATTTATTATTATTAAAAACTAAAAAAATTGAAAATAAATTTTAAATAGAAAAAGATAAGAATGTAAGATATTTAAATAAATTCATTTTAAAACATCCAAAAAAATGAAGAAAAAATGGATGGAGTGAGTAATTAATTTCACCAATCAAAATCAGCTTTCTCATGGCTCTCCCTATCGATTTGGCCTTGCCATATTTTTAATTTTTTTTTCCTTTTTGATAGACAGATTGCGGTATTCCAACCTGACAAGAATGACTGAGAGGCAAACAGCCTGCTTGTGATTACTCCAAAATGTAGGTAAGGCCCAATCATTCATTAGTAATTGAAATAATACGAGATTTGAATAGTGAAATAAGCGTGGCATAAATTGTAATTTGCACATATTGTATTTTCCAAGTCAAGTTGCATGATTTGAGATAAGAATAATATCAAGTTGCGGGTAAAAAAAGGAAAAGAAAAAATTGAGCAAACAAAGAAAAATACCCCAGCACCCAATTTGTCCGTAGTTAATACCGATCAATCTTGTACGAAATAATTAGGAATATAAATAATGCATTAATATTTATAAATTATTTTGATTTGATTTGAATAAATTTTAAATTTAAATTAATTATTATTAAATAATTTAAATTTAAATATTTTAATGTTTTATTTGAATAATTCATAAATTTAATTGAGTTTTTATATTTTAATAAAAAAATTATTTTACTTTATATATATATATATATCAAATCGAGTTCAAATTTAAATATAAAAATAATTAAAACTAAAGTTGATCATAAAAATTGAATTTATTTTTATTTTTTAGTAAAAAACATAGATAATGAAATTCGAGTAATTTAATTTTTATTTTGAATTAAATTTAAATTTAAAAATTAAAAATTGATCTAAGTTTAAATCAAATTATAAACAATAAATTCCGAATCAAATTGAAATTTCTCACTGTATCAATTAATTTGGTTCAATTATATCCCTACATCCCATCCAATATATCCCAAACAAAACTACAAGCGGAGACACTCACTATATATGTATACATATATATATTTTGATTTATAATGTATACATGCAGTATCCATTGTCACGTTCCCATGATATATAATATTAAAAGACAAATGCATGGGAAACTCGACCCCCCAAGTCCCAACCATTTTTTGGTTTTTTTAAAACACTAGGAAGGACGAAGAGATAAAGGATTTTGTGAGTTGAAACTAAGATACAGTGCATTTGAGATTTACGTCAACAAAACTCAAAACTATTTAATTAGTTAAAACGAACAGATTTATCAATTAAGCCAACCTCCCATAGTAAGAGGATCTCGATTTTAAGTCTTAACAAATAATTATTTAATTGAAAAATAACTTTAAATGTTTTGATCATTAGAGTCTTTATATAATTATTTGATTGATTTTTGCTGTTGATACTCAAACTTACGTGAAAAAGCAAAAGGTTGGAACAATACCTTTTCCGTGGAGCAAATCTGTCCGAAATCTTAAGCTTTGTAAAAAGGTTTTCTTTGTTTAACAAGAAAAGCAAGAGATCTCCAAAAACTCACGTGACATAATTAAATGAATCTGAGGGATTGCTCCTACGGTCCCTAGTCATCCACGAAGCAAAAAATTTGGTTGACCAAAAATCTAAACCTCGATCCGTGACACTAATGGAGGAGTTTCAGTGGAAGAGTTTTATATGAAAAGTTGAAATTCTAAAAGGATATGACGATGTTAGTCCATTTAACAACAAGCCCTTGGGTCATTAAAGCAGCCCATTGTTCAACACAAGGTTCACCTGCGTGGTTTAAGATTCAAGCGCCGTTCGTCTACATAAAGCCCACGACAGGTCCCACCGATACCCATCACTTTCTCGAAGTTCATGATTTCAATAGTATCCTTTGGGTTGTTAATTTGATTTTTTTTTTTAGATTAGATCGAGTCTGTGTTATTAATAGTTTTATTACAAGTAACTACACCCATTACCTGAATGAAAAAAAACATACGCATCTTTGATTTTATATTTTTTATAATAAAATTTTTATTAAGTTAATATTATTTGTTTCATGACATTAAACTCGATAAAAAATTTTATAATTATATAGATATATATTATTATTCTATCAATGCAAAGTATATTAATTATACTTATAACTAAAAGTTTTCATTAGTTCTCATGATAATTTGCATTAATTACTATTATTAATAAATCTGTAAATAATTATATCTAATTTTATTAAGGGTTTTTTTTTAAGTTCCAATTCAAACAGCATATAAGATCTGATGCAACATTAAGAAAGTACATTTTAGATTATTGTTGAAAATGATAAGAAAATGTAGAAAGAGAAAGTAGGACATTTTTGATTTCGTCCCCCAAATCACAATCTGTAACGGATCTATCAGAAAGTAACGGCTCATTTTCTTTGGCCAATCAGGGCCAAGGAAAAATTACAAAAATATAAAACCCAAACTAATATACGATGTCGGATTGCTTAGATGCTTAAAACTTCAGCGTCATACGTCAGAGGGTCGGTTAAGTCTTTTACTTATTATATTGGTCAAACAAACTATTCGATATTATTCTACTTCCCTTCCTTTCACCTTCGTCTTTCTTTCTTTCTTTCTTTCTTCTCTCTCTTCTTTTATTCGCTCATTATTATTTTTCTATCCGTCTCTCCTCCCCCCCCCCCCCCCCCCATTAATCACTAACTCCATCCAAACGAGCTCGAAAAAACCATCAGAACTCAGATCTTGCATCATAAACCCTAGAATTCAAGACACGACTCCAGCCGTTTGATCTGATCAGGTATCTTCATCTTGTGTAACTAACGATTGCTTTAGTTTATTTCTCTCGTCTTTAATATCATCTTGCTTCAATGATCTACAAATATCGATGAGATTTCTCTTCATTTTTTCTTTCAAGATTCTTAATCTTTAATTGCGTGTTCTTTAATGTTCGCAATGGATTCCATTTGATCATCTTTTGTAATTTAAACTAGGGTTGGTATTAGTTGATTAAAATGACATTAGCTGTTTTTTTTTTTTTGTCGGTGCACAATTTTTTCGGTAAAAGAAGAGGAATTTAGATTTAGAACTGAGGTGATAAAAAGTATTTAAAAATAGTAAATAAAAAACGAAATTTCTGGTGCGAATTATTTGATAAACTGAATTTATAACTGCCTAGTTTACTACATTGAATCTCTTGAGTGTGGTTTAATGAACAGCTGGGTTGAACTTGGCGACAAGTGATGGTCTGGAATGGCCATCTGTTTCTTGATTGTTAGATTATGAAGCTGTAGTTATTGCATAAATCTTGGCGGGAATTATGAATATTGTGAAAGGTGTTGCCGACCTTATTCGTCGGACATCTAGTGGCCAAACTGGAGATTCGCCAGGGGCACAAGGGGAGAGGTTGTCTCCTCCTACTCCAAGGATTCACTTCAGGTACTGATGATGCTTGATGATTGTTATTTATTTATTTATTTATTTTTTACAAATTTTCGGTTAATGTGGGCTCTATAATGGAGTTTTTGAGTGAGTAAAACTTGGAAATGCTTTGTCACTGTAGTTTAAACTTATTGTTGAACAAGTTGATTAGTTCCTTATTTGGTGATAGTCTAGCTGTACCTAATATGTGGTTTGGAGGTGTAGATTAATCTGTTGGGTGCTGTTGTATGCACTTGATATACCTTAAGTTGTTGATCCTGAGCCTCCATTTTTTCAAACTGAACTAGTATTAGTTCATTTAGTTCTTAATTCTTTTTGGTATTTTCTTCCAGTGAAGTAGATGATGAGGCAGTTTTGAGTTCATTGTGGCAGAGATATGAGAACACTGTTGATAAGGTATGCCACCATACCTGAAAAGTTTTTGAACTTCTTTTTAATTTTTTTGAGTTTCAGGATACCATTAATAAAATTTTTTACCCATTCACATCAATCATGTATGTAATGTGTTCTTTGTCCTAGATTTGATCCAAGAAAAAGAATATAATGTTGACAACTTAAAAGGATGTGATTATTACATATAATCTAGACTGTAATTCTGCTACCTTTAAAGGAAGTGTGCTCATTCTACTAAAGAAGTTAAAAGGTTTAGAGAAGAAACTTGTCTTGATAATGACATATAATCTAGACTGTAATTTGACTACCTTTAAAGGAATTGTGGGTTATTCTGCTAAATAAGTTAAAAGGTTTAGAGAAGAAACTTGTCTTGAATCTTTGAGCATTGGAAGTTTGTTCACAATTGTGTAGTATTCTTGTAGTATGCTTAACTGTTCTCAAGGTATTCAATTCAAAATTTTAGAGGCTTTTGGATGTCACTGAACAATTAATTTCACTAGTTTTCTCACTTTAGCCAATCTTTTTAGTAGTTTTGGGCAATTGTTTTGTCAATTTATTCTTTTGCCCTCCTGAAGTTCAGGTCTTTCTGAGTAAACTTTTATTTATCAAATATTGTCTTATTATTGAAGTTTTCATGCCAAAAGATTAATGGATCCCCCCCCTCTTTGATTTGCTTGATTTTAGGTGGAAAAGAAAAGGTTGTTTCATGTTTTCCTCAAGCAGTTTTTGACAGTATTCAACAACTGGGAGCCTGTTAATGGTGGCCAGTTGCCAGAGGCTGCTTCAACAATTGTTCAAACTGCTGAGTATTCTACAGGTGTTAATGATATAGTTGTTGGCTGCTCTGCCGGGCATCCTGCTGAAATCATTTTGACTTTGACTGAAGAGATCGTGCAGTTAACCACTTTGGTCTCTGAGTGTAAGTTGATTTATATCTTCTAAGGAAGTTGCTTTCATTTGTGCAGACTATTTTATTAACAGGAAGGACTTACTTTTGATTACATTTAGGAAAAAAAGAGAAAAATTGGAAAATAAAAAATAAAGGGAAAAATAAACTCCCATGATTCTAAAACATTTTGTGGAAAAACTAAGAAATAAAACTGTGTGAAAAATTAAGAGTAAAACTAAATGTATATTGAAAAACTGGTCATAAAGAATTATACAAGCACTTTAGGTTTATATGCGACTAACTAGTGGGTAAACTAGGAAACTAAATTTTCCTAAAACTGATCTTATAATTGAGGGATTGTCTATTCTAATTTTCTGTCCTTAATTCTAGGGATACAAATACTTAATTCTAGAGATATAAATATAAATATATAGATTATAAGATTACAACTATCTGTAAATAAGTGTTTTCCCACATATTTTTCTTTATGCAAAATGATAAAAATTTAATTAACTAATTACATTTAAAAAAATTAATATTTAATGTGCAACTTAACTTTGTTAAGAACTAGTTCAAGTTGAAGTCTTATATTTTTATGTGATAATTGATTACAATTTTTTTATCATTCTTGGTAATTTTAGGATATACCTTGTAATTGCTAAAATTCCTCTTTATGGTACTCCCATTATTGTCATTTTGTCCTTTATTTGGATTCTGGAAAGCATTTAATGAATTGTTTTCTGAAGTAAAATTAATCACGGGACATTATTTCTGGACATTATTATTGGTAGATATGGTAATATGCTGTCACTTAATTCTTTCTATTTTTTATGAGTCTCTCTTGTATATATAGATTGATTGAATATTTAATATAAATATTTCTAATATGTTGTTTTATGTCCTTTATTTCCTTTATTATGAATCCAGTAAATACTGGTGTGGGACGCACAGCAACAGACCTTCCAGCAGTTTCCATAAGCTTCACTTCTGAAGGATTACCTGTTTTGGATGCTTTAAAAATTATTACTCGTTCGTTGCATAATTGCAGAGTTTTTGGCTACTATGGTGGGATTCAGAAACTTACAGCATTAATGAAAGGTATGGTTAATATTATTGATTTTCTATATTGTTATTTGAGATGCTGGCAGTTTTTGTTTGTGGTCTACTGACACTGAAATTCACTGTTTTTTGTGATTGGAGGTGGGATGCTTTCCATAGTATCCAAATTTCTCCTGATGTAGCTATTTTATAAAACTTACTTATTCATCAGGTCTTGGATTGTTTTGAGGCTTAAATGCAATTAGTTAAGATTTCCTTTTCAATTAGGTATTATACTAATTGTGGATTCTTCAATTTGATTCTACTTGTATGTTGATTTTTCACCATTAATTCTGATATGAACTTGTTATTTTTGTTTGTAGTTCTGATTAGATTTTACATGGAAGTCTGAATTTTAATGCTGAATTCCAAGTTTATTTATTTTCTATTCCAGGGGTGGTTGTCCAACTCAAAACAATGGCTGGTGTACTTTCAGCTGATGAAAGTTTTTCTAATTTGATAGCAGAGAAAATGGGGTTCTTGCAGCGAGTACTTGTATATGTGGTGTCAATCATATGTAGCTTTATTGATTTAAATTCAAATGTATATGAGAAAGCTCAGATGTACAGTAGTACCAAAGATTTTTCTGTAATTGGTGCTTCATCTTCAATTGACTTCTCTAATAGTTTTAAAGGTTCTCTTTCTGAAGCAAGGCTACATTGGCATCAGAAGGCAGTTGTCTCAGTAATGGAAGCTGGTGGCCTTAATTGGTTAGTAGGTAAGGTAGGCACTTGTGTTTATCATAGTACATAACTTGGCAATATGTGAACCATTTGCTATGGCTGCAATATACTTTTTTTTTTTGTTTCTTTGATAAGTGAAGAGCAACTGAAAAGCGAAGATACCAAGAGGCTGCAATATGGTTATTCATGGTTATGCTGAAAAGTGAAAAATTATATCCTTATGAATGGTTTCTGAATTAGTACACTTCTTTATCATGTCTCATTATTCATTGGATGGTGCCTGCTTAATGCTTATATCTTCTAGATTGGTTTCTTTTGGGTGCCTTTTGATATCATTGATCTTCTCTCTCTCTCTCTCTCATTAGCTGTTATCTTGCTAGCATTGATTATTTCTGTTTGGTTTTAATCATTTTGTGTGCCTGTAGTAACTTGCTTATGATTAATTAGACACTCATTATTTTGATTTATTTGGTTGTATTCTTAATGTTTTAGTTAATCACTGGACCATCCCAAATTACCTTTTACAACATTTGGGGAGTATAAGACTAAATTTGGTTGGCATGTTTGATTATATTTCTCATTTTCTTTTCATTTTTTTTTTTTTTTTCGTGAATGAACATTTTCTGAGGGATATTGACTTGTGTACTTATATTTTACTGCTTCCTGACACCCACTCCATCCCTAAACATCAAGGAGTCCTCTAGTGTCTTAAAAGGATGTCGGCATACATCTAAGATTTGGTTACCACCCTACATCATGAATGTAAACTTAAGGCTGTTTTCAGTTGCAATGTTTCTTAAATTGAACCTAACACTATATTTGTGAATATTTGTTTGTTTGCATTTGATTTTGTTCACTGAAGCTGCTTGTTTTTCAGAGTTGTTGCGTGTCATCAGAAGGTTGAGTATGAAAGAACAGTGGACGGATATGTCACTTCAGTGCTTGACTTTGAGAACTCTTTGTTTTGCATTATGTGATAATCCACGTGGTCAAAATCATTTCAGAAGCATTGGGGGGCTTGAAGTTCTATTGGATGGGCTTGCACTTCCATCAATTAGTATGCTACTCTTAAAGAGTGCCTCACATGTTGATGGGCAAAGGTACTTTTTCTAACTTGTTTTGTAAATTCTCGTGTCTTGATACTATTTTGAGCATGCTAGTCGAAAAACATTAGATACCATTTAGTTTGGTTGTCGTAGAGAAAGAACTAGAACATTCTTTGATTTACATTTGGTCACCTCTTTTAAGTTTCCGTTTGCTTCATTCTACCTCACTTTGTTTTTCAGGACTTGACTGCATAACTAAGTTAAGCATATCATGTGATAATTTTTCCTGTTCAATTTCCTTTCTTTCCTGCCCCCTCCCCTCCAATGTTTAAAATTTGAACCTTTTAGTTAAATTATATGGATACATGCCATGTGAAGTTGTGTTCATATTTTATGATTAGGTTACTTTCCAAAAGATTTTTATTGTCTGTTTAAGTATCCAGAAAATGAATCTTTATACTTGCTAAATCCATTAGATGGAGCCAAAGTATTGGCTAAGATATCCCTTCCATAGGCAGTTTTCCTTGAGTATTTGTTTTGAGTATATGATGGCTTTTTCTTCAAGTTGTTCAAGAACTTCTGTTAAGAGCAAGTAATAACTGGGATTAGCTTAGTTGGCTTGTTTAGTTAGTTCCTTCCTTTGAGCAGCTTTCTCTGTCTAATATCTGATCTCATATTATCTAAATGGGTTTAGGGTTGCTAAACATGACTTTGTATCTGGTGCTAGTTGGGTAGGCTATCTGAATTTTCTGCTAGTCTTATCTTGGAATCTAATGGCTTCTATGGGAAGCCAATGCACATACTCTTACAACTTTTCTGATTGGTTCTTTCCCGTTCTGAATCCTTAAAGTTCAATGTTTTTTGTTGCCTTGAATGTATGAATAAAATTAATTGTCTATGAATATGTAGAGGAACTTTTATTCCTTTCTTATTCTACTCTTTCTTGATCTTGTAATCTGGTGGTTAACTTTTATGCAGAGAGCAAAATACTTTGCTGAAAATTTTTGAGCTCCATGTTCTTTCTTTGGAAGTTCTTAGGGAGGCTATGTATCCTATATATCACTTCTCTTGTATTCAGAATCTTGCATGTAGTTTCATTTTTTGCAATTTAATGCTTTAATTGTTTCTTTGTGAAAATGAAATTTGTGAACCATGTATGCTAATTGGAATTATATCAATCTCCTGTTGATATTATTGTATCTGACATAAGTGCAATTCTGCTAGATGCTGTACCTGTTAATATTAGAGCTTAAATTACCAATTCACATCATCTGCTTTTAACTGAGGACACTTTTAGCTTGAAAATATTGTCTTAAATTTCAAGCTGGTTTTTAGTACAGCAATATAGAATGCACCATTTTTCTCTTTACTGTTCCTCCAATGTTCAATAAAGTGGATTTTTTTATCAAATGAAATCAGTGACAACAAGGGTTCCTGTTCTAAATTCATTGCCCCGAATTTAACAATTTATGTTATCAGTTATGCGTGACCACATATTAGCGACCTTAACAAGTAATCAGCTTTGGGAATGTGAATAACCTACAGTTTCTATGTGAGAATGGTAGAGTTCATAAATTTGCAAATAGCTTTTGTTCACCTGCTTTCATGCTTCAAGAGTTCAAGCAGCAGATGAAGGATTCAGTTCTGCAGGATGGCAGTCAAACATCCATTTTTGACTTAAAAAATGATAATAGTACTGAAAGCTATTTGGCAGAGCCTTCTGCTCCTTTACTTGAGAACATTTCTTATCATCAACTTTGGAATGATTGTGTTGTAAAGTTGAGCAGAGTACTTTGTTCATTCCTTCTGGCTCCAGAAGATGTTAAATTTCGTTATGGCCAAGCAACCTCTGGTCGGATTCCCACATCAATTTCTTCAGTTTATGCTGAACTTTCAATTAAATGGGTCATGCGGGTTCTTCTTACAGTTTTCCCTTGCATTAAGGCTTGTTCCAATCAAAATGAATTTCCAAACCATTTATGGTAAGGTTACTCTATGCCTCTCGGTTTCAATTGAAGTTGTGGTGCCTTGAAACAGGCTGCAGACTCCTGCAAGCTATGATTCTGTTTCCCTTTAGCACTTTGTTGTCTTCTCCTTGTTTATAACCTCTTTCTCCCCTTTTCCTGTTATTTCGTTTCCTGTAGGTTCTTCATCAGTACCTTGCAGCATTGTGTTCTTAATGCTTTCAGGAAGGTTCTCATTTCATCACCTGCATTGCTTGAAGTGTTTCGCAGAGAGGGAGTATGGGACCTTATCTTCTCTGAGAACTTTTTCTATTTTGGATCAGCTTCAGAGGAATTTTCTGAAGAGTTTACTCCATTCCATGAGGGCATTCCAGAAAATCTTGAAAAATATTCTGCTTCTGGGAGCGATGCTGATAAACTAAATTTTGGTGGGATTGAAATTATTCAGATAGAGGCGATTTCATTTGTGGAGCTAGCTGCAACTTCTAATGGGAGTGTCCATAACTTGGTATTTCTTTCTCACATCTGAGATGTTCTTTGTGAAACAGTTTATCTTCGTTGTGCTCGATGCATGAATAAATAATTTCTTAGCTAGTTAGTCCTTGTTATAGTAAATTGCTGTCAATGTGGCGATTATCTAGATTTAAGGTTGACATTGACATAGGTGACTATCAAGGGTGAGAAAGGGCAAATCAGAGGTGTTATGGGCTTTATCAAAAGTCTGGCACTGTTTTGAAAATATCTTTCTCTGAAAAATTTCCAGTACTACCCTTGAACTATTCATCCATTGGTTGTGTAATCTTATTTCTTGTGGAATTCACGTGGGTCCAATGTGGATACAAAAATGCTGAAATCACAGTTGTGGACATAGCCAGTACAGTACAATGATAGTGCTGGCAATTTGCCTTAGTGCTCTCTGTTGAATTAAGAATTTTCTATATCTGATGTTATTCTTTAATTCAGTGTCTTTAGCCTTTTGGCATGTCTATGCTGTTAATTTCTTTTACCTCTAATTCAAAGCACCATGCTGATGGAAAATTATGGGTTTCTTGTATGTCACATATTGCTAATTGCTTATTATAGAAACAAATTCTGCATGGTTTGGTGATATGGAAAACAGAATACTTAAGTTGCTGGAGAATGTATAGTATAGGCATTTAACATTCTTAAATTAGAGGTATTGACAAATTTATAAATATTTAAGTTGATACCTTTCATATGGTTTTGTATTTTAGTGGAAGCATGTGATAGTTTGTGATGTGTTTGTCTGGGTGCATGTTTAATATTTTTGATATATGTGCTTGTATGTGTTATTCCCATGAATGTTCTAGTTTGTTTGATGATTCTAGCAGTGATCTAACTGGATTTATTCTAGATTTGTTTTTAAAGGCTTGTATTTTTTATGCTTTGGACTTTTCTTACTTTTTACTTTCTCTCCATGTTGTCACAGCCTGAATTGTCTACTTTATTAGAGGCCCTTGAACAATCTGCTTGTAATCCCGAGGTTGCTAGTGTTCTTGCAAAAAGCCTGCTTCGAATATTGCAGCTTTCATCCGAGAAAACCGTTGCTTCCTTTAAGACACTCAATGCAGCTTCCAGGGTTCTTAAAGTTGCTTGCATTCTAGCCCAAGAATCTAAAAGGTCGGGAAATATGAGCCCTGTGATTGAGAATAATCATTTAAAAGGGGTTACACCTCATGGTCACCAGAGACTTGATTCAACTGAGACAGTTCATAGTTGGACTAAATGCATGGAAACATGCATGGAACTCTTTATGGAATTTTTCTCAGTAGCAGATGATGCTAGAAATTTGGTTTTGCGTGATTCTACCTGCATTGATTGTTTGTTTGAATTGTTTTGGGAAGAAGGCTTGAGAGATCATGTTCTTAGATACATTCTTGACCTCATGAAGGTATTTTTTTTGTGACTGGTATAAAGCTTTTTCTGGTCTTCTTTTATTATTAACTTGTTAAGAAGTAGACCTGTTCTTTTTTTCCTCTCATTTTAGATTACATCACTATACGAAGAAGATCGAAAAGCGATGTTGTACATATGTTCAAAATATTTAGAGACCTTCACTATTGTAAAGGAGCGTGAAAAAAGCTTTACCGAACTGTCTATTAATCTATTGGTTGGAATGATGGATATACTCCAGACTGATCCAGTGGTATGTTCCCTGCACTTCTCACTTTGACATGCCCTTCTCTAAAGCTGTGTCTTTTGCAACTTGGCTATTAAGTTTTATGTGAGTGTCTTAGATATTTCATGTTTCATCAGCATTACCAGGCTTTATTTCGAGATGGAGAATGCTTTTTGCATGTTGTCTCTTTACTAAATGGCAATCTTGATGAGGCAAATGGAGAGAGGTTGGTTTTAGTTGTTTTACAAACCCTTACCTGTCTGCTTGCAAGGAATGATGCCTCAAAGGTACTTTTCATTCTTTTTTTTTTCTTTGTTTTCATGCTCATTAGTTATTCTGGAATACTTGAATGCTTTATCTATGTTTATCCTCAAGAGTGGAAACAAGTGGCCTTTCTTAGTGAAGGATTTTGCTCCCGTACTACTTTGTCTTTGTTGCAGTTTTTAGTGTGGTTGCCATTATTTATTTATGCCCTTATACACCAGAACACTGAAACACTTTGTAGCTGGTATGACTTTGCTTAAAATGTAGTTAAATGTTTAACAAAAACATGCATGTTTATGAAAGGAATGCAAAGTCCAATTTGCTTTAGTGGGATCTTCTTTTCTTGTGTAATATTTGAGCTCTACTCTATGCGAAAGGCTGCTGCACTTATTGTGGAAAGTAATATGGATTGATGCATTTGGACTTCAGGAGCTTTAGTAGTCTGTGTAGCAAGGAATTGGTTATTTGTACTTGAGATGATAAATGGCTGGACAGTAAGTTCTAGAACTAGAACTAATTTTTGTAAGATGTCAAAAAGAGAACTGTTGAGAAATCTTGAGCTGGTGGTAGATTGAGTTTAATTCTGTATGTTTAAGCATTTAGGTATTTAGATCTTTTTAGTCACAATTTGTTATTCAGGCTCATTTTAGCAAAATGGTTGCTTCTGTCAAGCTTTTAAAACACACCGATCTAAAATTAGGTTGACATTTTCCTTTAGCATTGCAATATTAAGAATTTTAATGGGTCTTGGAAATTATTCTTTTATTGTTCTCATTTTCATGTGCTTTTTTTTACGTTCAACAATTAATTTTGCAGGCAGCATTTAGAGCTCTTGTTGGCAAGGGCTATCAGACATTGCAAAGTTTGCTGTTGGACTTCTGTCAATGGCGTCCAAGTGAAGCTCTTTTAAATGCACTTCTTGGTATGCTTGTTGATGGAAAGTTTGAAATAGAAGGGAGCGCTCGTATAAAGGTGATTTAATCTCCTGAAAAGTCTCTTTGACCCACTGTCGCGTCCTTGCTGTCTGGTCATGTGAACTGATTCTATGATCTTTTGTCATTTTCCTCATTGTGCTCAGTTTGTAAAATTGTTGTCCTTGAATTAGTTTTTTTCTTGTTCTATTTTGGTTCAGAATGAAGATGTAATTATACTGTTTTTGAGCGTTCTACAGAAGGTTAGTAATTCATTTTCTTGGTTGGTTCTACACTATTTGATAGTACTAAATTTCCTCAGAATCTGTTATCACTGATTCTTACTTGGTAGCTGTTTGAATTTTGATATCATTTTTTGCTATTTTGTGATTGGCCAGAGCAGTGAGTCCTTGCGGCATTATGGTCTCAGTGTGTTTCAGCAGCTGCTTAAGGATTCCCTTTCCAATCGAGCTTCATGTGTTGCGGCAGGAATGCTTAATTTTCTTCTTGATTGGTTTGTACAAGAAGGTGATGACAGTGTCATTTTGAAAATTGCACAACTGATTCAGGTTATTGGTGGCCATAGCATATCTGGGAAGGATATTCGTAAGATCTTTGCTCTCCTCCGAAGTGAGAAAGTGGGGACTCAACAGCCATACTGCTCATTATTATTGACCACTGTTTTATCAATGCTAAATGAGAAGGGACCAACTGCCTTCTTTGATCTCAATGGGAATGATTCTGTAAGTCCTTCTGGCGTCCTTGGGACAATTTCAGAAAACAATTTCTTCTGATTTTCATATTCCTATTAGTCCTTTTGGATCCTGTTGCATTCAATTATTGTGTCAAATGACTACAATTAGAACCTGGTATTCATATTCCTCTGTAATTGTTTTGCAGGGAATCATAATTAAGACACCTGTGCAATGGCCTCTCAACAAGGGTTTTTCTTTTTCGTGTTGGCTCAGGGTGGAGAATTTCCCCAGAAGTGGAACAATGGGCCTTTTCAAATTTCTGACAGAAAATGGAAGAGGGTGCTTCGCAGCTGTAGCAAAAGATAAGCTTATTTATGAGGTAAAAGATATCTAATATGTTTGTCTCTCGGAAGTTTCTTCCAAAGCTTAACTCTTATTCCAACCGAAAATGCATTGCATGTATAGTTCCTAGCAAATAGAAATCAAGTGCCCCCTTCCCCCTTCTCCAGACACTCAGACACATAAACACAAAAAAAATGGCTTGTTTTTGTTTTACTTTCTTTGGCATTATTGCCCATTGATTTATTTCTCATGTCCGTCACAGTCTATCAATCTAAAACAACAGTGTCTTCAGATGCATGTTAATCTAGTCAGGAAGAAATGGCACTTTCTTTGTATTACTCATACAATTGGAAGAGCATTTTCTGGGGGTAGCCTATTGAGATGTTATCTTGATGGTGATCTTGTATCCTCTGAAAGATGCAGGTAACTTCCCACCTTTAATCGTTCTCAGTTTGCATTTTACTTTTGATCATTAAAACTTTTCAAGAGATGTATTTCCTCAACACAGATAAGTTCCCTCCTGACACTCTTTATTTCATGTCTCAGATATGCAAAAGTCAATGATTTATTGACTAGCTGCTCCTTTGGTACAAAAATTATCTTGCCTCAAAATGAAGAAGATGATCCTCGAGAGGCCATCCATGTTTCATTTCCTTTTCTTGGTCAGATTGGTCCACTTTATTTGTTTGCTGATGCTATTTCTTCTGAGCAAGTCAAGGCTGTACATTCCCTTGGACCAAGCTATATGTATTCCTTCCTTGATAATGAAGCTATTGCATGTGGTGATAACCCAATGCCTAGTGGAATTTTTGATGCAAAAGATGGTCTTGCATCCAAAATTATATTTGGACTCAACGCACAGGTTCTTTTCCCTCCCTTTCTGGGACACATGCACACACGCACTAAAATTCATGTCTGAAATTCTGCTTTTGTGTCTAGCTGAACTCTAGATGTTGGTTCCTCTTTTCAGGCAAGTGATGGCAAGACATTGTTTAATGTCTCACCTGTATTGGATCATGCATTGGATAAGAATTTATTTGAAGCAACTATAATGGTTGGTACACAGTTATGTTCTAGACGTATGCTCCAAGAGATAATTTACTGTGTTGGAGGCATATCTGTGTTTTTCCCTCTTATCACTCAGTCTGATAGATATGAAAATGCTGAAAGTGGAGTTTTGGAAAGTACACTGCTCCTTCCAGTCGCAAAAGAGCGTCTGACCGCTGAAGTTATTGAACTTATTGCTTCTGTGTTAGATGAGAATTTAGCAAATCAGCAACAAATGCATCATCTTTCGGGATTTTCAGTACTGGGATTTTTATTGCAATCAGTTCCACCTCAGCAACTCAATATGGAAACACTCTCTGCATTGAAGAATTTGTTTAATGTTGTATCATCCTGTGGTATGTATGATGAACCATATTGAGTTTTATCCCTGTAGCGGTTATTCATATTCATATGCTCACCTAAATTTTATTTTTAATTTTTGTACCCATTTAAGAATATATCTCATATCTTTTTATATTTTGTGTTTCCTCTTTAGGATTGGCAGAGCTGCTCATGAAAGAAGCCATATCTGCCATTTTTCTTAATCCCCTTATCTGGCTGTACACAGTTTACAAGGTGCAGCGTGAGCTGTACATGTTTCTCATTGAACAATTTGATAATGATCCGAGGCTGCTTAAAAGTTTGTGCCGGCTCCCACGTGTTATTGACATAATACGGCAGTGTTACTGGGATAATGTGAAATCTCGGTTTGCCATTGGAGTCCAACCACTTTTACATCCTATTACTAAACAAGTTATTGGAGAAAGACCTGGTAGAGAAGAAATACATAAAATTCGTCTTCTTTTATTAAGTCTTGGTGAAATGAGCCTCAGGTATGTATTCTAAACTGACTAAGGGCATCTGATGTTGCCAAATGTACAGTGTTGGATCAACTATTTCATTTTTAATGGACATATATAGCACGTTATCATTTTTTTTAGTTTTCTTAACAAAACTGTTACATGTTGTATGCAGGCAAAACATTGCACCAGTAGATATAAAAGCCCTTATAGCTTTTTTTGAAACAAGCAACGATATGACATGCATTGAGGATGTTTTACATATGGTTATACGTGCTGTTTCTCAAAAACCATTGCTTGTATCCTTCCTTGAACAAGTAAATCTACTGGGTGGCTGTCACATTTTTGTCAATCTCCTACAGAGGTATGCCATCTGCATTAAGAATTAAATGTTCAAACTTCTGGCATGAGAGACAACAATGACCTCTGTTTCATTGAAGGATGTCCAGCATTTTTCTTTCAATGGTTTCTTTTGTTGTATATTTCTTTAACTTACATTAATCTTCATTTAATGTATTATTTTTACCATTATACTACTCTACCAAGGGTGAGTGTCAAGATTTAAATTCTGTTATGGAGATTTTTTTTTTCAGGGGGAGGCATTGAGGGGGTGTGAGTGGAGCTGTGGCCTATCCTGGCTCTGTGTTTCACTATTACTGTTTATAAGAATTTTTTAGAGAGACAAATACTGCTGTTGAATCCTTGGAAGTAATCTTTTGGTCAAAGACCAAATATTTCTCAAGCACCTTTGGATTTTGTTCCTCATAGTTTCAATTTTAAAACAGCACGTTCTTCTGTTTAATTTATGTTTCTATTTTTCCACTATGGTCTAACACAATGCTGTGTACAGGAATTTTGTTAGAAAAATTTTTTATTCATTTTTTATTGTTCCAAGTGCTGATTTAGAAGAGTATGCAGTTTCAGAAAAATGTTCATGTTTCTGAACCAAGTGCATGCTTAAGTATTTTTTTCTCCAGTAATTAGATTATAGTTTCTAGAAATTAATGCATTTTCCTTCCTCTGAATAACTTTAATTGCTTTGACTGTAGTTGGTAAAAGTGATGTGTTTTAAATCAATGGTTGAGAGTGAATGTCCTTGTAGTAACCTTTCAATTTGTTTTGCATAGGGAATATGAACCTATCAGGTTGCTTAGCTTGCAGTTTCTAGGAAGACTTTTGGTTGGTTTGCCATCAGAGAAAAAGCCAAGATTTTTCAATCTTGCTGTTGGAAGATCAAAATCTCTTCCAGAAAACAGCAAGAAAATCAGCTCAAGGATGCAACCACTCTTCTCAGCTATATCTGACAGGTTGTTTAAATTTCCACAGACAGATAATTTGCGTGCCACCTTGTTTGATGTTCTTCTAGGCGGTGCTAGCCCCAGACAGGTGATCAACCAATCATGGATTTTCCCTTATTTTTCTGTTAGTTTAGTATGTTTTAGATGTTCTTTCTGTTATTCTCTTGATTGTCTGTGATTGTGGTAATTCTCTGATAATTTTCCTCTTAACCTGTCTCTTGAAAATGTTTGTTTACAGGTGTTACAGAAAAACAGCCTGGTTGACAAGCAGAGGAGCAGAGGAAATAATTCTCACTTTTTCCTTCCTCAGATCTTACTTCTGATTTTCAGATTCCTATCCGGCTGTGGAGATGCATCTGCAAGAATGAAAATAATTAGTGATTTACTTGACCTTCTTGATTCAAATCCTCTGAACATAGAAGCGTTAATGGTACTGCATACAATTAACTATTGACATAATATATATGTTGTGTATTCTTTTAAAAGAGCTATCTAATTATTCAAAATTTGCAACTAGGAATATGGTTGGAATGCCTGGTTAACAGCTTCTTTGGAACTTGATGTGGTAAAAGACTATAGACCTGATTCAAGATATCAAGGTGACTATGAGACAAATGAGAAAAATCTTGTGATGAGGGTTTTTTCTGTTGTTCTTTGTCACTATATACATTTTATAAAAGGTGGCTGGCAACAATTAGAGGAGACACTGAATTTTCTACTTCTACACTGTGAGCAAGTATGTGAAATTCCATACTTTAATTTCTTAAATATATTTACTTTAATCTATTCTCTTTTTGTGATGGTTTTTAGCCCATTGATGGATAATTTACTTAAATTTCTTTTCCTTGGTAGGGTCGCATATCATGCCGAAACTTGCTTTGTGACATATATGACAACTTGATTCAAAGGCTGGTAGATTTATCTGCCGAGGAAAATATTTTTAGTTCACAGCCTTGCCGGGACAATACATTATATTTTCTACGACTGGTTGATGAGATGCTTATCTCTGAAGTTGGCAATAAACTTCCGGTAACAACTTACTTGAGAATATGACTGGATTATGTTTATTCTTGGTTTTCCTGCCTGTCATGGGGAATGTTTTCTCCCTCAAAGTACCTAACATGCCCACCTTGAATACATGCATTTAAATATAAGAGGAGGAAGAAGATTTAGGCGATGGGGAAGTGAAGGCAAATGTGGTCCTAGAGCTTTCTCATTAGATTTTCCCTATACATGTTTTGAAAGAACAAAGTGAGATTCAATTGATTATTGTGCATTTGACTGAACTTGTAGTTTTTTACCTTATTTGAAATAGGGACATTCAAACATTTAAAAATTTGGGAATAGTTATCCTTCCATGAAAAACTAATCAAGATTTGTTATTGTGCCTCCTCACTCTAGTATACAAACATCTTACAACATTCAAGTATTTACTATGACTTAGCTTGTTGATTGCTACTTATGTAGTTTGTTATTCCAAACTTAAGAGTGATATTAATTTGTTATCTCTTTTCTTACAGTTTCCAGCTAATAGTGCTGAATCTTATCTGGATTCTTTAGAGTTAGAAAGCCAGAAAGATTATACCACTGTGTTGCATGAGGTTTTGCAAGGAGAATTTGATGACAAAGTATCTGGGTACTGCCTGCTTGCTTGACTTTCACTCATTATGTCCGAAACTGATATGTTCTTTATTATCTGCTTAGCCTTAATTGAGATAAAATCTATGTGGATCATTGAGATTCAATGAGTTTTTCCATCTATTGTCAGATACTAATCTGTTTGTGCAGTCACTGCATTGTGGTTTGCTTTTATTTTGTATGACATTGGCTAGTTTTTTTATCTGACTTTTTTAAGCAGCTAAATCACTTGAAAAGTTAAGAGATAATTGGCTGTTCTACCCTTTTCCCCCTTTCTCTTCTTTTTATAAATCCTCTTCGACATGATTTTTTTTTTTTTTAATTTTCTTTCTCCTGCCAAAAGCAAATGAAGCTAGATAACAATATGGATCTTGCCTAGCTTTTTTAGTTCAGGATAATGAACTATTTTATTATTAATAAGGCATAAGTACCAATTTTCAGGTGAAAAAGGTTTGCCCCTTGTTTTCTGCACAATTTATATGAGATTCTGCACACTTATCCTAGTCCTAAAATCTACTCTTCACTATAGAATTTTCAATCTATAAGAATATCAATTGATATGTGTGGAAACTGAATGTAATATTGAAAAATTGCTTATCTACAATTACACAAGAATCTTAGGTTTATATACAACTAACTAGGGGTTAAACTAGGAAACTAAATCTTCCTTAATTCTAGGGATACAAATACTTAATTCTAGAGATACAAATATAAATATACAGATTACAAGATTACAACCAGCTGTAAATAAGTGTTTTCCCACACTCCCCCTCAAGCTGGTGAATAGGTGTTTTCCATTCCCAGCTTGGAAATAATTTCTTGAAATGTTGCACTGCTAAGACCTTTAGTCAACACATCTGCAAGTTGACCCTTGGTTGATACATAAGGTGTACAAATCAACCCACTGTCTAGTTTCTCCTTTATGAAATGCCGGTCTACTTCAATGTGTTTTGTTCTGTCATGTTGCACAGGATTGTGTGCAATGCTTATTGCAGACTTGTTATCACAGTAGAGTCTCATTGGTCCATCCCACTTGATCTTCAAGTCTTCTAGGATAATCTTTAACCATAGTAGTTCACAAATTCCTTGAGCCATTGCTCTGAACTCTGCTTCAGCACTTGATCTTGCCACCACATTCTGTTTTTTACTCCTCCAAGTCACAAGATTACCACCTAAGAAAGTGCAGTAGCCTGAGGTAGATCTTCTATCAGTTACTGAACCTGCATAATCAGCATCTGTATATGCTTCTCGAACTAACCCCGAATCTCTTTTGAATAAAATACCTCTCCCAGGATTGGCCTTCAAATAGTGCAATATACGGTAGACAGCCTGTAGGTGCACTTCTTTAGGACTATGCATAAATTGACTTACCACACTCACAGCATATGCTATATCAGGTCTAGTATGTGAGAGATAAATGACTCTTCCAACTAATCTCTGGTACATCTCTCTATTTACAGCAGCATCTTCATTAGCTTCTCCAATTTTATGATTAGGATCTATAGGGGTATTTGCAGGTTTACATGCAAGCTTCCCAGTTTCCTTCAGAAGATCCATCACATATTTCTGTTGTGAGATAAAAATACCATGCCGTGAGTGAGCTACTTCAATTCCTAGAAAGTACTTCAATCTCCCAAGCTCTTTATCTCAAATTCTCTAGCCAAACACTGTTTTAGAGATTCTCTCTCTTTTTCATCATCTCCAGTTACAATTATATCATCAACATACACTAATAGAACTGTTACTCTCCCTGAATCAGAGTGCTTGATAAACAATGTGTGATCTCCTTGACTCTGTTTATATCCCATTGCTAGCATCACTTTGGCAAATCTCCCGAACCAAGCTCTAGGAGACTGTTTAAGGCCATATAAAGCCTTTTTTAACTTGCATACTTTGTTTGCTTCTAGATGACCTCCAAATCCCGGTGGAACCTTCATATATATTTCTTCTTCCAAATCACCATGTAAAAAAGCATTCTTTACATCAAATTGTTGAAGCTGCCAATTGTAATTTGCAGCCAATGATAACAAAATCCTAACTGTATTCATCTTGGCAACTGGAGCAAAGGTTTCCTGGTAATATACTCCATAGGTCTGAGTGTAGCCTTTAGCTACTAACCTGGCTTTATACTTTTCAACAGTACCATCTGCCTTGTATTTTACAGTGAAAACCCATTTACACCCCACTGAATTTTTTCCTTTAGGCAACTCTACCAGTTTCCATGTCTGATTTTTCTCTAAGGCCTCCATTTCTATTTTCATGGCTTGCCTCCATTTCTCACTGGATAATGCCTCGGATAATGTAGTTGGAACAGAAATAGTGTTTAGGCTCACAAGAAAATTTTTGTGGAATGGTGAGAATTTTTCAAATGACACAAAATTAGATATTGGGTATAATGGATGCTTGGTACATTCTCTGGTTCCTTTCCTAATGGCAATAGGCAAATCATAATCACTAGTTATAGTTTTAGGAGATTCATGCTCATTTTGAGAAACAGAGTCAAAAACTATAGTTACCTCATTTCCAGAGTTAGACTCAGGTTTTTGGACTGGCACTGGTTCAGGATCTGGAACTTTCCTTCTTGAGTACACTTGTAATTCCTTCATAGAATCAAGAACAATATTATCCTTTGTCACATCTTCCGTATTTGGAATGGGTTCAGACTCAAATTCAATGTTTGACTCGGACTCAACAAAAACAGGTTTCGACTCAGAAGAATTAATGGGTGTAAATGTTGAAGAAGGGGGCAAATCAAGTAAAAAGAAGTCTTTATCCTTATCTTCCATGAATGAAGTCTTCCCCTGAAGATAAGGTTGAGTAAAAAATGGTTTATTTTCTTCAAAAGTGACCTCTGCAGACACATAAAATTTTTTGGTAGGAGGATGATAGCACTTATATCCTTTTTGAGTTGAAGAATACCCCACAAAAATACACTTAATCGCTCTTGGATCCAACTTTCTCCTGTTATGACTATGAACATGAACAAATGATGTACAACCAAATATCTTAGGTGTGAGATTGTTTGTGGTATTGAGGTTGGGATAAAATTGTGAGAGTAGTTCCATAGGAGTTTTAAATCCCAAAACTCTTGAAGGTAACCTATTTATAATGTGTGTGGCAGTGAGAACAGCTTCCCCCCAATAAGATTTAGGTACATTTGCTTGAAAAAGAAAGGCTCGGGTTGTGGCTAATAAATGGCTGTTTTTTCTCTCTGCCACTCCATTTTGCTGTGGAGTATTAACACAAGATGACTCATGGTGGGTAGACTCTGGTTGAAGTAGTCTCTTGCATTATCAGACCTAAATCTCTTGATTCTTACTCCAAATTGATTTTGGATCATGTTTTGGAAGCTTAAAAACACACTATTCACATCTGATTTGGATTTAAGTAAAAAAACCCAAGAGACCCTAGTACAATCATCTATGAATGAAACAAACCATCTCGCACCAAAAATATTAGGAATTGTAGAGGGACCCCAAATGTCACTATGAATCAAGTAAAGGGAGTAGAACTTCTTTTGTTACTGATTGGAAAAGACACACGTCTATGTTTTGCAAATTCGCAAATATCACAATGAAAATCTTCAACATTTAATTCTTTGAACAAAGAAGGAAACATGTTTCTCAAGGTTCCAAAAGAAGGATGTCCAAGACGAAAATGATAAAGTCAAATTTTGTCTTTATTGAAAGATTTTTCAGAAAAAAATGACAAAGGTAAACTATTTTTGATACTGCTTGTGTTATTTGATGTCTCAAGATAGTATAGTCCATCCTTCTCCTTAGCAAGTCCAATCATCTTCCCCGAACTCTGGTCCTGAAATTCACAATAAGAGGGATAAAAAGTTACTTTGCAATTCATATCTTTGGTAAGTTTTTGTATAGATATCAGATTAGTAGACAATCCAGGAACATGAAGAACATTTTTGAGAACAAACGAGGGATTAACTTGAACATCTCCTAATCTTGCCACTGTGGTAAGTGAACCATCAGCAACAACAATTTTCTTATTACTAGGACACAGGTTATATGTACTAAACTTTTGTGGGGAATGTGTCATGTGGTCTGTAGCTCCTGAGTCAATGACCCAAGAACTCGTGATAGGCTTAGCCGAGACATTTAATCCATGAGAGCCGGAAGCTTTACCTAAACTAGAAACTTTACCTGAACTAGAAACTTTACCCAAAGAACATACCATAGTAGGCTTTTCAAAGATTTTCAATAAGTTTCTCAGCTTTTCAATCTTTTCCCTGTTGAACTCTCCTTGTTTCTGAGACATCTGTAGTATTTCAGTGATTTTCCCAGTTAACATTCCTCAAATTGGGTGATAGTGATATCTTTCTTTGAAAGGGTTCGGCAATGAAGGCCTAAACAGGATTCGGCAATGAAGGCCTAAAAAAGTCAGCAATGAAGGCTGAAAATTTTTCTTTCCAAGAAGAGTCTAAAGCTCTGATACCATGTGGAAACTGAATGTAATATTGAAAAATTGCTTATCTACAATTACACAAGAATCTTAGGTTTATATACAACTAACTAGGGGTTAAACTAGGAAACTAAATCTTCCTTAATTCTAGGGATACAAATACTTAATTCTAGAGATACAAATATAAATATACAGATTACAAGATTACAACCAGCTGTAAATAAGTGTTTTCCCACAATATGATTAGGAGAATTAGAAGCAAGTGTTGACTTTTTACAATTCTAAAAAGGTTTATTTAAGCATAGATTTTCTTGTGATGATTTAGGGTGCCTGTATTTGGCATTCTGTTCTTTTATTCAAATGGTATCTATTATATCTCAAACATAATAAGGAATATCAAGTTGGCCCGACTTTCATAAAATTTGGACATTTGTATTAAAGTACAAAGTTCATGACTTCATGTGTACAGTGTACTCATTATTTGAAAAGTACTTGCTGGTTATCATCTATTTACCCCATCCAAAATGGTGTTTGAATTATTGCACCGTTATTTTTACCGTGAGCCTTATAATTGAATACAACATCATGCTATCTGCTACCATAAGATGTCCAATAGAAAGTAACTTGATCTTTCTATGTGAATCTTTTCATTCTCAGAAATCCACGGGCTTCCAGGCAGTCAATGACAAGTGAAGATGACATAACTGGTGATAAGTGGTGGAACTTATTGGACAATTTATGGATTGTTATTAGTGAGATGAACGGAAAGGGTCCGAGCAAGATTGGGCCCAGAATTTCAGCATCAGTTGGTCCCTCTTTTGGCCAAAGAGCACGTGGCTTGGTAGAATCTCTTAATATTCCTGCTGCAGAAATGGCTGCCGTTGTTGTATCTGGGGGCATTGGCAATGCATTGAGTGGAAAACCAAATAAAAATGTTGATAAAGCCATGGCTTTAAGGGGGGAAAGGTGTCCAAGAATTGTATTTCGACTTTTAATCCTATACCTCTGCATATCTTCCCTAGAAAGAGCATCACGTTGTGTCCAACAGTTCATCTCACTTTTGCCTACCTTTTTGGCCAGTGATGATGAGCAAAGCAAGAGTCGACTGCAGCTCTTCATCTGGTATTATTGTTTATCCTATGCATAAGTTTTCAGATTTTGTGTGACATGCAACTAGTTATCTTGAGTTTAAGGATGGATTGGTGCTTTTCATTGCCTTCTGCTAGTTCTATGAAGCTTGACAATAAAATAACATGGTGCTCAGGTCTTTGCTTATTGTACGATCCCAGTATGGAATGTTAGATGATGGTGCTCGTTTTCATGTAATAGCACACGTGATTCGAGAAACTGTAAACTCTGGAAAGTCAATGCTTGCTACTAGCATGGTTGGTAGGGATGACTCATTTGATTCGAGCAGCTACTCAAAAGAAATGGGCTCCATTCACAATCTAATTCAGAAGGATCGAGTGCTTTCTGCGGTTTGTTCTGAACTTCAAATTTATAATCTTTTGTCTTCATTAAATTTTGTTGTTTTGCTGTTTTAGTCAGATGGAACTTTCATCTTATGTTTCGAATGGTGTGCAATCTCCTGGAATGAGGAAGTTCCATGAATGTTTTGCTATATTCCAAGAGTGAGACCTATTATTCTTGTTTTCCAAATTTTGTATTGTTTATTTAGACTCTGCATGGCAACTACTAAGGAGAATCATGGTTCCAAGTGATTTTTAATTTTTAAACCCATATGATAGTCTAATATGTCTCACGTTGATTGAAGAAAGAAAATTGGATTTGAGATGATGTGTTGTTCTGTTTTGATGTTTTCTCTTATGAGCTTTTTTGGTTTTCCTAATTGAGAAAACTTTTTCGAGATATCTCCAAGGGTCAATGCAAATAAACCACATGAAGATATCAAATCTGTGTTGCATGCTTTATTGATGCCGTCATTGCCTAAAGGCAGGCAATATTAATCCTAACACTGTGAATCTTTTGGCATGTTTCATAATATATTGTCAATTGGCTTGCCATACTCTTTTTGTGCTCCTTTTCTCCATGTTATCCACCATTCAGTTCTCTAGTCTCTACATTCAGGTTTCTGATGAGTCAAAGTATGTAAAGATGTTGGAATCCGACCGTAGCAGACAGTTGCAGGAGCTTCTTACTAGGATGGATGAAAATTCCTCTTTAGAAATTAATAACCAGAAGGCATTTGAAGATGAGATACAAAGTAGCTTACACGCTATTCTTGCTTCAGATGAGAGCAGAAGGGCTGCATTCCTGCTTGCCCATGAGGAGGAGCAGCAAAATGTTGCTGTATGTTGAAATTTTTTCCGTTGTGAAATATGCTCTTTGTTTTGGTCCTTAGCTTCTTTAGCTTCTTTTAGCTTCTTTAATAGGCTCATTGTTATTTTTTTTCGCTATTCTTCCATTAATTAATTATACTGAATCTTCATCTCATATATGTGAAGTAATAAATTTTACTCTGACAGGAAAAATGGATGCACATGTTTCGCACCTTAATCGATGAAAGGGGTCCATGGTCTGCTAATCCCTTTCCGAATGGTTCTGTGATACATTGGAAACTTGACAAGACAGAAGATGCATGGCGGCGTAGACCAAAGTTAAGACAGAATTATCATTTTGATGAAAAGCTGTGTCATGGTCCTTCCACTTCCCCTAGTAATGAGGCTACTTTTCCCAATAGTGAGAGCAAATCTAGCTTTGTGGGGCACATTCCTGAGCAAATGAAGCAGTTTCTGCTCAAAGGTGTACACAGGATAACTGATGAGGGGAGCTCAGAACCTGGTGAGAGTGATGCTGAACCAAGCGGGCAGTTGGTTATTCCTGAGGATCCTTCAGATGGTCACAGCGTGGAAGTAGTTAAAAGCAGCAGTGATCAGATGGATATTATACAAGACAAAAAAGAGTTTTCTTCACCTTCTCTAGAAACAGAAACTAGTGAGGTACATCTTATCGGGGGGATAAGAACAGTCAAACTGTTTTTTTTCTCATTAAAACATCTGGAGTTACTTCATTGTTAATTTGTGATTTGATGTTGCAGGTTGTTATGTCAATTCCTTGTGTGCTTGTGACACCAAAAAGAAAATTGGCAGGTCAGTTGGCAGTCATGAAAGATGTCTTGCATTTCTTTGGTGAATTTTTGGTTGAAGGCACTGTAGGATCTTCAGTTTTCAAGAACTTAAATGCATCACGCCATTCTGAGTCAGCAAGGGCTGATCACAAGCCAAAGTCTTTTAAGTGGTCCATTCATCTTGATATACATTCTGGGAAGGGGACTTCTGACAACATTGAGGCAGAAAACTTGCATAAAAAACCATTGAAAAATGTAAAGCGTCATCGGAGATGGAGTATTGGCAAGGTAGGGAACCATTAGTTGTTTTATTTGTGTTGCATTGCTTGTATCTCTCAACTCTAATTTGATTTCTTCTTGTTTGCTTTGCTGGTCATAGATAAAAGCTGTCCATTGGACTCGGTATTTGCTTAGATACACTGCAGTCGAGATTTTCTTCAGTGATTCGGTTTCTCCCATATTTATAAATTTTGCATCACAGAAGGATGCGAAAGAGATTGGAACCCTTGTAGTCTCTACCAGAAATGAGCTGTTGTTTCCAAGAGGAAGTAGTAGGGACAAGAGTGGCACTATTTCATTTGTTGATAGACGTGTGGCACTGGAAATGGCGGAAACTGCTAGAGAGAGCTGGAGGAGAAGGGATATAACAAACTTTGAGTATCTGATGATTCTCAATACACTTGCAGGAAGATCTTATAATGATTTGACTCAGTATCCTGTCTTTCCTTGGATTTTGGCTGATTACTCATCTGAGGTTCTTGATTTTAACAAGTCATCAACTTTTCGGGATCTCTCCAAGCCTGTTGGAGCATTGGACTCAAAACGATTTGAGGTCAGTTTATTTGGCTTTGTTTAATGAACGACATACTTAATACTGATTCCTCTACATCACCTTTTTCTTTTCTTTCCAAATATCTCAATATTATGCTTCATGATTCAGGTGTTTGAAGACAGGTATCGTAACTTCTGTGATCCTGATATACCCAGGTAATCTTCAATCCTAGTTTCAGGAAATTAAGTGGTTCTTTCCTATAGAGTTTGCTTTAGTCAATTTGTCTAATGTGCCGCTGTGTTTCTACTTCCTAGTGCAGTTTCTATTATGGTTCTCATTACTCAAGCATGGGGATTGTGCTTTATTACCTCCTCCGATTAGAACCTTTCACATCTCTTCACCGTAATTTACAGGTATCTTTAGGTATCATATGATGCTTGGTATTTAAATGCAATATAAGGAGGAAAAAAGAAGAGGGAATATGTGGTGATCTGACTGCTTCTTTGGTAATGATGTTCAGCTGATAAACTTTGGTAACACAGTTTTGAAAGCACTTGTTTTGGTGTGATCTTTGCAAAATGCTTTTTTGGACTGGTAGGAAGTAGCAAATATATTCTTTTATTTACTCTTCCTTATGGAGGAAAGTTGAGTACACTGAAATTTTCCTTGCTTTAGAAGTTCCATCGTAGGTGGAAACTTCATAATTGTAGGTTTTGCATAAAAAATTTATATAGCAATCGTTTTTATGAATAAATGTTATGAGATGGGTATTAGCATTTAGTTTTTCAAGGGCATGATTAATGCTAGAGTTATGTGTGAACTTTAGCTATTAATTTTGCACATGATTCTACCAACAAAAGACAAAGGTTGTCAAAGTCATTGCAGTAGTCATACAAAGTCTGATAATTGTATACCGGTCATAGGTATGAATGCATTAAATATGGTTAAAATCCTGTCTTATGAATAATATTACCAACAAAAGACAAAGGTTGTAAAAGTCATTGCAGTAGTCATACAAAGTCTGATAATTGTATACTGGTCATAGGTATGAATGCATTAAATATGGTTAAAATCCTGTCTTATGAATAATATTCCTTTCTCATTCAATACTTCCTATATGTAATTTGGTTTTCTATCCTTGTTTATCACTTAATTGGTCGTCAGTTCACAGTCTAAAAACTCCACTAATTCATCATTTTTCATCAGGGAGGTAAATTTGACCATGCAGATCGTCTTTTTCAAAGCATTGAAGGCACATATAGGAATTGCCTTGCTAATACAAGTGATGTGAAGGAGTTGATTCCTGAGTTCTATTACATGCCTGAGTTTCTTATTAATTCGAACTCTTATCATCTTGGGGTGAAACAAGATGGTGAACCGATAAGTGATGTTTCTCTCCCTCCCTGGGCTAAGGTATGTGAATTCCCTCAAGGATGTGATGTTTCAGAAATTATCTAGGGACAATTTGGTTTCTCAATAGGTGTTTCTGCTTCAAGAATGTTTTGGAGTTTATGGTTGTCCTCATATTGTGTATCTGATGATGTGACCCTCCTTAAGAAACTGCGTGGTTAACCTGAGAATCATCTGTTAGTTAGAAAGATTATTTGATTTGTTTAAGAGGAATAATTATGATGGTTGTGCTGCAAGGGAGAATGTCTCTAAATTCTGTCAAAGTGATAGAGACTTCTATGCCTAATCCCTAGCAGTTTCGGTTTAATAATATGTTTCACTTGCTTGTTTGCATAATGGTTCTTATTTTATCAGATTTGTTAACACCCTCCGTTAGGAATCTGATTCTAACTGTGTAGATACATAATTATATTGTTCATACAGTGCCTGCTGTGAGATATGTTAGAAATGTAACAATTATCTAGACTAATGCAATTCTAGATTCAGTAATGAAATATGTTTCTATTGTTTGAATTTTTAATAAAGGTACAGATGAAATGTTATATTTGGAAAATAAAATTGGTGAACCCGTCCTTCCAAAAAAAAAAAAAAAAAGATGTACGAGGTTATATATTAGCTGTATGTGGTGCTTATACTTTTGCAAGAGTGAAAAGCTACATGTTAGTGGATAAACAGAACAATCATCTCTTTTTCCCTATTTAATACAAACAATTTATTTTATAATTTTTCTAGATACAAAGATGGAGATGTGTAGCACTATAGCCTAACAATGACTATATTAAGAAGGGATAATGGTGAAATCTTACAATGAGAGGTGTTTTACAATGTAAGACTTAAAAAGATGTGGCTCATTTACCAACAAGACAGATGAAGACAACTGGAAATTGAAGAGATAAAAAAACTTGCTATTGTCTTATACAGAATAATACAGAAGCAAATGAATGAAAATTCTTGGGGAAGATAGAATTAACTCTTTTGGACTGCAACATGAATTAATCTTAACCCACAAAGTAGGATGTCTATCCCAACAGGGTGTGGAAAAAAAAAGGATACTGGTGAGAAAACTACATGCCTCATGTTTTTCATAGTCCTATGAGATGAGGGGTGAGCTTTCTAGGAGTTAAGCTCCTTAATTTGGATGAGGCTCTGTGAACTAGACTCGCATTACACTTTTAAGACTTCTTTAGTAACTTTGGCTACAATATATATATATATATATATATATATATATATCCTTGTATACATTTTTAAGACTAGCTAGTTGCTTCTCTAGGAGTTAAGCTCCCATTGAGTCCTTGATTTGCTGAGCTAAAGAATTCCTGTTAATTTGAGTTGAAATTGTATTTTACTGAACATTTATTTTAAACCCTAAATATCCTGCTAAAAAACTTATTTTCGCTTGTCTTTTTATAGGGTTCACCTGAGTTGTTCGTAAGTAAAAATAGAGAGGCCCTTGAAAGTGAGTATGTTAGCTCAAATCTCCACCATTGGATTGATTTGGTATTTGGTTACAAGCAGCGTGGAAAGCCAGCAGTGGAGGTATTCTGTGGAAAGAATGTTTTTCAACAACCAAACATTTTCTTTTTTTTTTTTTTTGCTCCAAGCTGATCTCAGTTAAAATAAAACTGGGTTGCAGGCTGCAAATATCTTCTATTATTTAACTTATGAAGGTGCTGTTGATCTGGATGCAATGGATGATGAGCTGCAGAGATCAGCGATTGAAGATCAAATTGCAAATTTTGGTCAGACACCAATCCAGATTTTTAGAAAAAAACACCCAAGAAGAGGGCCTCCAATTCCAATTGCTCATCCTTTGTATTTTGCACCCGCTTCTATTAATTTGACATCTGTTCTTTCTTGTATGAGTTATCCACCATCAGCTGTTTTGTATGTCGGGTTACTGGACTCGAACATTATCATTGTGAACCAGGGGCTTACTTTATCTGTTAAGATGTGGTTGACAACCCAACTTCAATCCGGTGGAAATTTCACCTTCTCAGGTTCTCAGGTTAGTTCTTAGCTATAATTTTTTATTAAAGTAAATCAAGTGAATGCCGTTCAAATTACCTTAGATGTATTTTTGTTTCCTTCACAGGATCCTTTCTTTGGAGTTGGTTCTGATATTCTTTCCCCTCGTAAAATTGGGAGTCCTCTGGCAGAAAATGTTGAACTTGGAGCACAATGCTTTGCAACAATGCAAACACCGACTGAGAACTTTTTAATCTCATGTGGCAATTGGGAAAACAGCTTCCAACTCGTATCTTTGAGTGATGGAAGAATGGTTCAGAGCATTCGACAGCACAAAGATGTTGTCAGCTGTGTTGCAGGTATTTTTCTTTTAAAGGAATGCCCAAAATCTGCTGGCAAAAGTAATTTAAAGCTGGATTTTATTTTGTACAAAGCTCAGCTGGTATTCTTCGTCATTTGAAACCTTTTTGAAAATTTCCTAGTGAAGTCTTCCAAGTTTAGCATATTTTTGAAAATTTCCTAGTGAAGTCTTCCAAGTTTAGCATATTGTTTTTGTGGAATTATCTGTTGTGTGAATAATTTATGTAAAATTCTTTGAAATTATGACGTCCAGTTCCTAATGGTACTTGGAATCTGCTCAAAGTTAACATTTCTTCTTTCGCTGTCAATGTTTCTTCTTAAAAAGTGGGTCACGTTAGCAATAGTGAGAAATGAAGAAATTCAAGTAGTGATGCTAAGATGGTGTAGTTCAAAGTTTCAGATCTTATTGATACATAGAAGGAAAGAAAGAGAAACATACGTGCACATAAGACGTGAATTGTATCATCTTATGAGTCTAGATGAGGATGATATGTATCTGCTAAATGTTTTTCTTCTTATGAATTGTTAGTTTGTGTTATAAGTGCTTCTTGGAGCCTTTGTTGTCTCATTTAAGATTGATAACCTACTGCAGTTACAGCTGATGGAAGCATTCTTGCTACTGGAAGTTACGACACTACAGTCATGATGTGGGAAGTTCTTCGTGTCAGAGTCCCAGAAAAGAGAGTTCGAAATATGCAGACAGAAGTTCCCCGTAAAGACTGTATCATTGCTGAAACTCCCTTCCATATTCTGTGTGGTCATGATGATATAATTACATGCCTTTATGTCAGTGTGGAGCTTGACATAGTTATTAGTGGGTCAAAAGACGGAACTTGTGTTTTCCATACCTTGAGAGATGGACGATATGTAAGATCTTTACTACACCCATCTGGTAGTGCATTGTCAAAACTTGTAGCTTCTCGGCATGGACGGATTGTACTTTATGCTGATGGGGATCTCAGTTTACACCTCTATTCTATTAATGGAAAACATCTTGCTTCTTCAGAATCCATTGGGCGCCTTAACTGTGTTGAACTCAGTGGATGTGGTGAGTTTTTGGTTTGTGCTGGTGACCAAGGACAGATTGTTGTTCGCTCTATGAACACACTTGAGGTTGTGAAAAGATACAATGGGGTAGGGAAGATAATAACATCCCTAACTGTGACTCCAGAAGAATGCTTCTTGGCCGGGACAAAAGATGGAAGTCTTCTCGTGTATTCTATAGAAAATCCCCAGCTACGCAAAGATAGCCTTCCTCGGAATCCAAAATCCAAAGCTTATATAACAGGCTAAAGCTATGATTCAGGATGGGAATGATTGTTTTGACAAGTAGGGTCTGATTGGTGACACTGATCTCAGGTATTCTACTCGCTAATGGTTATTTTTAGCCATTTCATTCATTTTAACATAATTAAGTTAATTCAGTGCATAAACTTCATTTTTGTGGAAAAACTAAAAAATAAAACTGTGCGAAAAACTAAGAGTAAAACTGAATGTATATTGAAAAACTATTTATAAAGAATTATACAAGAACCTTAGGTTTATATACAACTAACTAGGAGTTAAATTAGGAAACTAAATCTTCCTAAAAACTGATCCTATAATTGAGGGATTGTTTATCCTAATTTTTTGTCTTTAATTCTAGGGATACAAATACTTAATTCTAGAGATACAAATATAAATATACAGATTACAATATTACAATCAGTTGTAAATAAGTGTATTTCCACAAATTTTTAAACTACTAATCTACCAGATGCATGTAGTGATGGCCATTTCTAACATGTAAGATCAAGGCTGCTTAATGGTTCACAAGGCCTATTTTCATCAAGTAATGATGCCTCAGCATTGCATGGATGTTTGAAAGTTGTCTGTCAGTGGTTTTTTTTTTTTTTTTTGGCCTATAAAATTGCATATATATATATATATATATATATATATATATTGCCAGAGAGAGAACATGCTCTTGTTAAAACCATAGTAATTTTGACAAATTTGGAATCCTAGATAACTAATGCTCAGTCTCACACACCCTAACTCTCTCATGTTGAAGAGCCTGCCTAATGGTATAAGATGAGCCTTATGCCCTGGCCCATGGTCATAGAGCGGGTCCTACACACATACCTACAGGCATGTTGGTTTAAATCCTCAAATGTTTTACACAATAAAAATGTATATATTTTTGAAAAATACAGAATAAATAATTTAAATATGCATATACCACCATGTTTTTGGAAAGTGTGCCTAATGGTAATCTAAATGCTCATGTTAATACTATATCATCGTATGCATTCAAGAAATGGCATAACAAATTCAAGTGATTATTTTTCTTGAAAATATTTCGAGGAATTTTTAGAACATGTTGGAGTGTGTCAAAGAGTTCACTACTCATTAGTGTTAATAGACATTGGCAATGGTGGTTAGGAGAGAAGGTGGGCGACTTACATGCTAACTTAGTCTTTGCGTAGCAAAAGTTTAAAAATCAAAAAAGGATTAAAGGAGTCCCCTTGCAATCAAATTAGTTCATGTGAAACTGGGCCAGCTTGGCTATATCTGTGAGTTGCAAAGATGATTGGCTGGATTTGCTTCATTCCTGCATAAAAGTTTAGTGGCATCCTTACAGTGCTAAATCTTAGCCTGAACAAATAAATTAAAAGCATTTAATTTCAGAATTTGATGTCAATATTCTGCTCTGACCTTTTGATTTTTATTTTAAGGTATAATTAACTGATAAACAGGAAACAATCATTTTGCTTGACTCTATTTCAACAAATATCTGGCATTTTGTATTCCATTTTCATCATTTTCGTTTGTTTCCCTTTTTTTGACAGGAATGCCTGTGAAAATTGTATTCATTCTTCCATTTCCGTGCAAAGCAATATTGGGGCCATGTTTGGCCATGTTTCATCTATATATTCAGCACATAATGAAGAATGCTGATTAATCTTTCAGCATCGTCCGAGCATTACATATCCAGCATACAGGTTCTTGCCCGCCCATTTGTAACAGTAAGAGATGCAAACTTTTAGAAATTCAATTTTCTTTCAGTTCATAACAAGGAGCTGAGACAGAAATCTGGATATTAACACATACACAGATGTACAATATTTTCAGACTAGGGTAGGTTTCAAGTCATTTGTATTGCCAATAGCACATCTCTCAGCTCATCGTTTTGTTTTTCAAAATAGCAAAATGTCAAAAGTCTCAACCCAAACTTTGTACAGATGGGCTACCATGCCTGATTCTAAAGTGAGTTAAAATTATTCTTTCCAAGCATACTCAGTAAAGATTAATAACTTCCCTCACCACCTTTGGATATTAACGGTCGGTTCTAGATCAGCTTGGCAACATATTCAGGTGCTTATTATGCTGTGATTTTGACATTAGCTTTATATGTTTGCATGATATCCTTGGGCATCTGATCTTCACTGAGTGTTGGTGGAACATTCCATTTGCCCACAAGTTGGATTGTTTGAATCTAAATCTAATTTAGCCACTTATTCGTATCACATAACGTCACGTTCGTGCCCTTATCACCAAAATAACTCCTCATTGTTTTTGCTGTATGTCTCATCAACTAGCCTGACGACTCCACCACTGCCGACCTCACCGGTTCGGCCACTGCACTTGTAAACGATCCATCTGATTCATTACTAGGCATCTCTAACCAACTTTTCCCTGGTGCAATTGTCTGGTATTTTAGCCCTTGGTCATTCAACATCGGAAACACTATAAAAATCAGGCCCAAGCCGAGTGCCGTAGCCGAGATCTGGCCGTTGGCTTAAAAATCCCCCAATGGACTCGAGACTCAAATCCATCCGGCCCAAACCAAATTTGAACATGGGAATTAGTAAGAGCAAAGGCCATTAAAATTCTATAAAAAAATTAAAGTATGCTTTCTATATATTTTTTTTATTTTTAAATGAAATTATTTAATTATTTTTTATTTCAGTTTTGAAAATATTGGGATATACATATTCAATAAATTTTATAACTTATTACAGATAATTTATCAGATTTTTATATTCAATAAATTTAAAAAATTTTATGTTTAAGGTTTTCGACAAATTTCATCTAATTAATCATCTTTATCTAAAAAATTTCATCTAATTAATATCATCTTTATCTAACGAAGAAATATTTATTTAATTTTTTGAGATTCCAACAAAATGAAAAATTTTAATTGAGGAAAAAAATTTACATATCTTAAAAGAATTTCTTAATATTATAGAGAAATTTCACAATTTATTTAAAATAATTATAAGTTTATTTACAAATTTATAAACAAAAATTATAACTTTAATAAAAAATTGTCCAATTACAGTGTATGGGTTTAATTTTTTTTTTTTATTTTAATGATATGATACGAAACTTTTATACAAACTCAAAAACTTTTAAAAGCTTATATAAAATTTTAAATTTAAAATATTAAAAATAAAAAGGATTTTAAGAAAGAATAATTCAATAATTTCACTTAAAATTAATTATAAAAAAGATGTGAAAAAAAAAAGGTGCAAATAGCTATTTCCCTCATACAAAAAGAAAAAAAAAAAAAAACCACACCTCGGTTCTCTCTAACACACTTTTCTCTTTTTCTCAGGCATATAATCCCTTACTCTTCAAACTCTCCCCAAAACCTAGAAAACAAGAACTTTCTTCTACTACTATTTTACTTCTCATTTTTAATTAATTAGGGTTTTTCCTTTCCCTTTCTTTCTTTTTTCCCCTTTATTTTACTGTAATGCTTCAACATCCCCAATTTCCTCCATGTACGGACAGTCCCAGCCCATGAACATCCCCGCCCATATCGCCAGCTCCGTCGATAACGATGTTTCAGCCTCCGGATCCGCCGATAACCTCCACAGCGTTAGTTACGATGCTCATACCCTTGACGACGGCGTCGGAGTAGAGGACGTTGTCACCGATCCCATCTACGTCACTACCGCCCCTGCTTCCGCCTCTGACTTGGCCATCGTTCAACGTGCCGACGGCGCCAGCCAACTCACTCTCTCGTTTCGTGGCCAGGTCTATGTATTCGATGCTATTACTCCTGATAAGGTATCATCTTTTCTTTTCCTTAAAACCTTTTTCTTTTCGATTAGGCCAATTCTGCTGAAATGTTTGATTTTTGAAGAACCAAAAATCGCTGTCTTAAATTGAGAGAGATATGACTTCATTTCCACTTATTTTAAGTTATCAAAGCAAAATGCAACTTCAAAATCATACTTTTAACCTTTCGCGTTTCTATATTTTACCCAATGAAATGCACATTTTAAAGATTTTCATTTTGATCGAATTTTTGCAGTTTCATGCGGTGTTATTACTGTTGGGTGGATGTGAACTGACTTCAGGTCCCCATGGTATTGAAATGTCATCTCAGAACCGAAGGGTAATTCTCTTAAATTTGTTGAAATTAGATATCATTTAGTTTTTTTTTTTAATTTTTAATATATCTGTTATTTTTTTTCTGTTTAGGGTGTTGTGGACTTTCCGAGAGGATCTAATCAACCAAATAGGGCAGCCTCGTTAGATAGGTTTCGTCAGAAGAGAAAAGAGCGATGCTTTGATAAGAAAGTCAAATATAGTGTTCGCCAAGAAGTTGCTCTTAGGTGTGCATTTTCCTTCCCTCAAATGCAGTTATTTTAGATGGCTGTGCTTGTAAAATTTTTTTCATCAAATTTTGAACTAGGAAAGTCAATTTCATCAAATACTCATATTGTCCAGTTAAGATTTTACTCAAACTGTCTTCACGGTATAGGAATGTTGTTAATGTGATATTGCAAAGTCCTCTAGTATTTATGAGCCTAATCTACCATAAATTTTTAGCAAAACTCTAAGGATCTAGGGAGTAAAAATAGTGCTGAGAGATTAACAAATCAGGTGTTACAAAGAAATATTTCTTAGAAAACCAGACACCGTAAGGATGATTTTTTCCACCTGTTTATAATTACTAAGTTTAATAATTAATTCATGGATGGTCTCTTTGCTTGTGGCTAACCTCAGCATTCTTCATTTTGCTACAAAATAATCAACCTCAATCAACAAAATTTGATAGAGCATAATATCTAGAGAGAGTAAGAAGTGATCTGGCATGTCTATTCTTGTCACTATGTCTTTAAAACCGATTATAAGTTCATGCAGTTCTTATTTAATCAGAGGAAGCCGTTACGTTGTAAAGAACTAGTTTGGAATACAATTTTCCATTGGGAATCTATAAAAACTCATATTTGTAATTTCATGATCTATAGTAAGGATGCTGTATAATTTCAATCAACCAGTAGTTTATCTTATCCAAAAATATTGTTGATTTAGGAATTTATATTCTAAATTGGAAACAAAAAGTTTAAACTGTTACACAGTCAGGCAAGTTAACTGATTCTGTCTCTTTAAACTGTTTTTCAGTTAGACATGATTCTTAAGTACAAGAAATGGATGAAGTCCAATAAGGGTCTCACAAAAGGGAAAAAATATAAAAGAATTCAAACAATGGCAAAGAATACTATTTTCCTTCAAAGTTTAATTGGCTGGTCTTGGTGCAATGGGAGAACCACAAGGGCAAATAGGAGGGAATACCTTTTGTATTTTTTTAGGGAAGTTTACATCTCTAACAATTATTAAGTAACAGCATAATTTAGAAAAAGAACATAAATATAATTGAGTTCATGGAAATTGAATTCTTAATATCTTATCTTAGGGTGTTTTATTTAACTGAAAAGAAGTCTAGAAAACTCATTAGGGACAGTCCTTATTGACAATTTTTTATTTGTTCCATATTTGGTAAGCTCATGTTTCTGATTTCTATGAGTGCATCAGGATGCAGCGTAATAAGGGTCAATTTACATCTTCCAAGAAGTCCAATGAAGATTTCAGTTGGGGTACTTCTCAGGATGATAATAACCTACTGGATACTTTGTGAGTTTTATACCATCTTCCATAGTATTATTCTTTCCATTTTCTTTCTATGAAGATCTGGTAAATGTGTTTTCATTTTTACCTTCACACTTACTACACAATATTTCGCATTTCTCTCTCTTATTAGGTATTCTATTGACTAACGTCTTTTTTAAAATTTCCTGGTAAAATCTCAATATAAATTATAATAATTGGAGTTATGATATAATGTCATTTTCTCACTTGTCCAGATGTACGCACTGTGGCACTAGCTCAAAGTCCACCCCAATGATGCGACGTGGTCCATCTGGTCCAAGGTCACTATGCAATGCTTGTGGACTTTTTTGGGCAAACAAGGTTGGTGTCTCTGCTGTGATTGATAGTTCACATTTCTTCACTTTGTCCATGTTTCTCATTTACAATTGAGAAAATTTACTCCCTCTTGGTTCTATTGCTACATTTTCCATCATAGTTCTCTTCACACATTTGGTAGTTTTAGATGCACAAGTAGCTTTTAACTGCTCCTTGCATATTTTCTCAATTGGGATTGATTGCAATTAATATTTCAATTAAAAAGTTTAAGTAGCATCTTTATAAAGCTATTGTCAAGGAATATAGGTTTAATTTGGTTACTTATTTGCTCTCAATTAATTTTGACTGAGGAATATATCCCAAATACTAAGCCCTATTCACCCTGCTTTCTGCCTAGATATAGTGTTTCACTTAAGATCCTCTCTCAAGTCAGTTTTGTGCAATCTACCTTGATTGGCATTCTCTTTAAGATACCTTTTGCATCTAAGATGTGGTCTCTAATTTTCTCATTTAGTTCATTTACTTCGGCTATGTTTCCTATTGGCATCTAGCTTTTGATAGGAATTAATTACCCCTCCTCTCTTTCTCTCTCCCCTCTGTTTCTGTTCTACATGCAAAAACACATATGTACAGAATGAGGGGGATGGGGAATGCGGTTCAATCCTTGACTTTGTTGCTCATGATGGGGATGGGGAATGTGATTCTTGTCCTAGCCCTGCCCGTTTAACCTTATGCAATTACACACTAGTATGTAATATTTATCTCTTTTGTGTACATAGAAGATTGTGATTTAGTTATATCATAAGTCTCTGGGATTTTTCTTCCATACTTCGCTGCCTTCTCCTTTTTCCTAACACCTTTCCCCCTTTTTTCTCCTCTGCACAAACACACACAAAATTCTCCATCAAGAAAAGTATTTCGCTCTTATCAATTTTAGGGGATGGGACAGGGATAACAACTCTTTCACTGTCTAGGGTGGGGTAAATAGTATCACTGATTCACGGATGGGGTTTGGGAAGGTCTGTTAATGTGGTGGGAACAGAGAGTGAATTCCCTCCCACTAAACCTGCCACATTGTTTACCTCTCCAGTATTTGATTCTTGCCTTTAAGTTTTATCCACTGTCTCTATTTTGGCATTTATTTTTAAATTTGCTTTTAGTTTTGCATGTGTATCAATGCTTTCCCCTCTGCTGAACATTCAGCATGCTATATCTTTTTGAGTTTTTAACAATTGAACTTCATGCAGGGTACTTTGAGGGATATTCCCAAGAAAACTCAGGATCATTCCCTAACTCCAGTTGAACAGGTGTGTTTCTTAACATGTAAACTTGTTATTAGGCTTCTTGATTCGCCGTTCTAATTTGCTGTTCTAATTTACCCCATTGTATTTTGGTAGCATAAATGTGGCTTTGCATTTTTTCTGATATAGGGAGAAAGTGAAGCAAATGACTCGGATTCTGGAACTGCTATCCCTACACAAAGCAATGTAGTTTCTTTCTCGAATGGTGATGGCTCGGCTATAATAACCGAGCACTAATCAGTGTGTGCCAATATGGCCATTGTATCAGCTAGGTCTTCATTAGCAATTTCTTTCAAACTTATCCTACATGTACAGATATCATAGTTGCCTTCATCAGTATACGAGGTTTTCTCCTCCTATTCCTTGAGTTAGTACTTTTGCCTGAGATTACCTCTTTCTTAAGAGAAACCTACTCCAACCTCCGGATGTATCACCTTAAGCTTCAACAATCTACCTATAGTAATTTTACAGGCCATATGCTCCAATATCTTGTCCCATCCCAAGAAATGCTGCGGATGGACTATCTGAGGCTCTTTTATATTTCAATCAAATGCGTATTATTAGCTAATGTAAATGATGGATGATCATTTTTATAAGAGTAATTGGAGTCAAAACCTTGTTTTGTTCTATCATTTTCATAATGGTGAACCTGGTAAGTAGTACCCCACATTACTAGAAGAATGTAGATGCTGGTGCTTTTCTTTTTTGTCCACTTGAAGGCCGACCAGTTGCCATCCAACTGACAATCAACAATGGAATGTCTTGATGATGTAGTAGCAGTAGTAGTTCTGTTATTTTATTCTTTTCCTTTGATTTGATTATTCATTGAGCCGACCTTGTCTTGACCTTCTTGCATGTGCTGCTTCCAAGTCTTTCCCTGGCTTGTCTGTTGAAGTTGGGAATTCCTGTCTGTCTGTCTGTCTGTCAATTTAGCTACGCCAGATTTCCTAATCTACAAATTCTTCTTTGTCCATATGCTGCTGTATTGGGTTTGATAGGAAAGGATGTCGAGACAATTTTTTTTTTTTAAACCAAACAAAAAAAAAATATTAACCTTATCATAACGATTCTACTTATGTGTAATAATGAGCCATCTTTATTCAAACAGTAAACAAAATTTATTTGATACACGGTCCAACGAATTTTTTAAATTTATAAGTGAAATTAAAAAAAATTGTGCATATACTGATAGTTTTTTAATAATAAAAAAGATTGCTAGTGTAAATATTATCCTTCAAAAACTTTTAAGCAAGCATTCAACTTATTTCATAAAGATTGTTAAAATCTAAGAACAATATTTATTACTAACATTTCATTTTTTTTTAATTATCATACAATTATAGTTTAGCCATTGAATTTTTTAATTAATTTCTCGAATATTTTTTATCGAAAATAATTTAAGAATATAAAAAGTTATCCCACCACCAAGTCATCAATCTATACAAAATTTTATAATTCTTTTTATGAAAATTTTTTAATTTATAAATCATTTATCAATAAAAAAATTATAAAACTTCAAACCTAAATACTTGATATCTAAATCTAAATTTTAATGGCATATTAATTTCTTAAAAGGTATCCCATCATTCATCACCTACAAAACAAAACCCCATGGAGAGATGAGGTAAAAAAAAAAAATAAAAAATCGATTTAAAATTATAATATTTAGTTTGGATTAAATCAATTTTTTTAATGGATTCGAATTAAGTTTCAAATATTAAATGTATATTTTAAGTTTATATCAAATTTTAAATCAAGAAATGAAAAATAAAAAAAATTAAACTGAATTGAATTATATATATTTTTAATTTTTATAATATAAAAATAATAATTTTATAGTAAAATTTATGTAAATATATTAAAATAATATATAAAATTTAATAAATTAAATCAAATCAATTAAATTGGAATAGAATTGAAACGAATAAAAATTTAAATTTAAATTAAATTTTAAAATTTTATAATATTATATAATATTTTAAAAAATCAAATCAAATGGAAATGAAATTATTATCTCCCCTACCCATAACATCCTTGGACCCCACTTTATCCACCACATATCCTAACACCCGTACCCACAATGCCCTTTCTCTTTTCTTATTTTTCAGTTATTTTTTTCTTATTATATATATTGAAATAGTAATTCCCCACGTTCTCTTTCCATCAAAAATAAAATTAAAATAAAAATGAGAAAGAAAGAATTTCCCATTTGAGTCTCTCTAAGGGAACACGAGTTCACGCCCTTTCTCTTTTCTTATTTTTCAGTTATTTTTTTCTTATTATATATATTGAAATAGTAATTCCCCACGTTCTCTTTCCATCAAAAATAAAATTAAAATAAAAATGAGAAAGAAAGAATTTCCCATTTGAGTCTCTCTAAGGGAACACGAGTTCACGCCCCTGCAAATCTTAGCTATATTTAGGGTAGTTTTCAACCTTTCTTTATTTTTCATCTTTTTTACTTCCATTTTCGATGCTTCTTTTTTGTTCAAGCTGAGAAAAGCTCTGTCTAGGGTTAGGGTTTATAAAATTAAAAGATTGATGAAAAATAGTAAAAAAACCAATTCGTGTAACCGGAAGCCATGGCTCTTCAATGAAACAGGTGATAATCGCAACCTCAGGGCTTTGATTTTCGGTACAGTTGGAACGGTTCGGCCTTTGGTTGTTCCTTTTGTTGTTTATATATGGCGACTGCGAATCCACAGCCACGTCCGTTTGAGGAGCACGAGCGAGGGACGATACAGATCGAGGACGACGATGGAGACTATGAAGATGACGCCATGGATGACGAGGAAGACGCTAATGTCAACTCCGTGAATGTGGTGGAGCATGGAATAGGAGTAGTAGGTGGCGGTGGTGGAGCCGGTGAAGGCGTTGTTATGGCGTCGAGAACTAGCGAGCTTAGTCTCTCTTTTGAAGGAGAAGTTTTCGTGTTCCCTGCTATTACACCTGAAAAGGTTTTTAATCCTCTTTCAAACAAAAAAGTCTATCTTTATTCAGTTATCTTTTTGTTTAATTTTGGTAATAAAATAATTTTTTCCCTGCTATTCTATTTGCTTTTGCAAAGTAAAGTACTGTTAGTTTTTTATTTCCATTTTGTTTTCTTATTTTAAATATGCAGAGGCCGAATTCATTTCTTAGTATATGTTTGACGGATTTAATTAATGGTTCTTTCCTCGGTTAAAGTAATTTTATTGAACAGTTATAGACTGAATTATGGAAGCAAAGCAACTGTATCTTTGCTGATCATCACTTCTGATAGCTTTTGATATGCAATTTGATTTCATGCTTTGCTGTTATGTTTTGATAATTGGTAGGAAAGTTGGACTCGAGTTAAAGTCTCCTGATTGGCTAAAAATGTTTTTTCTTGTTCAATTTATTGTATCCTTCATTAGTGAAGTTGCTGCCCATCTGCTGTTTTTACATATTGTCTTTAATGTGTATTTTGTACATTAAAGTTTTAACTGCCTTTCTTTCTTTTCGAGAAAGTGCTTTTTTTTTTTTTTTTGTTGATACGTGCTTCTTCTTCATCAGTCAAGTAATAAGTAATTTATTTTGCTATTCTATTCTTTAAATTAACTTACTGGTTTAGAGCTTCTTCCTACTGTATCTAAAGAAGCACACATGTTTATTGGATTTGTACGCAATAGGTGCAAGCTGTGCTGTTACTTCTAGGGGGTCGTGATATCCCCACTGGTGTTCCAACAATTGAAGTACCTTTTGATCAAAATAACAGGGTATTGTTGATATTAAAGTAATTGTGAGTAATTGTATTCCATTATTTGTATTTTGTGCTTTGGTTTCATATACCATATTGGGCAGGATATAGGTAATATTCCAAATCGCTCAAATCTTTCAAGACGAATAGCATCCTTGGTTAGGTTCCGTGAGAAAAGGAAAGAGAGATGTTTTGACAAGAAAATTAGGTATACCATACGGAGAGAGGTTGCACAGAGGTATGATATTTTTGTACTTATTTTGTTTAGATCTACAATTAACAATTAGAACTTATGAAATGGGAGGGATTGAAGTTGTCCTTTGATTTAGAAGTTAAAAGTGGAAATGAGAGAAGATCTATCAATTATCCAAAAATTTTGCTAGCAGTGTAAGGGCTACAGGCTCTTATTATAAGGTGCTATTGTGGGAAGTGTGTTTAATACAGGGAGCGGTTGCTCTTGTTTAAGTTTGAATTTAAGAAACTTCCATGTGTTCATGGTTCTTTCTCGTGAAAGAGGCATAAAGTAGGTTAGGACTTTGATTGTGTTCTGTTTATATTGGCTATTTCAATTTTACATTTTTATGTACTGATTATTTTCTTATGAGACTAATAGAACAATGAATTGAGATGAGTTGGTGAGAGGAGCCATATACATTAGTATCAAATGTATTATTGTTTCTTTTTTATACACAAGTGGTAGTGGTGCAGCTGATAACCTGCTGTAATCTTCTCCTTTTTTCCTTGTAGGATGCATCGTAAAAATGGGCAGTTTGCATCATTAAAGGAAAGTACCTCAAGCTGGGATTCTTCACAAGCTGGCCTTCAAGATGGTACTCCTCGTCCAGAAACTGTGTGAGTTCCAAGCTTGCATGTTACTAGGTTATTTGGAAATATTTATCTTGATAAACCTTTTGCATAATTTTGTCTTCAATGTCTTTTAGTTTCTGGAGATGTCAACATTGTGGTGTTAGTGAAAATAATACTCCAGCAATGCGTCGTGGTCCAGCTGGTCCAAGGACTTTATGTAATGCTTGTGGGCTTATGTGGGCAAACAAGGTTTGTTTAATTTAGTTATGAATGATGCTTTCCTTAGGGATGCTTGATTCGGTAGTTTTATGGCCTATTATTTCTCTTTAACAGTTGATCCTGCATGCTTTCCCCATAATATTCTTGATTAAGCATCATCTTGTGTAGTTATGTGTTGGACTAGTCCTTGGAATGTTGCTAATTTTGGTGATAATTTTCAACTATTCTTTTCTTTTTGTTGTGTTTATCACTTTCTGTAACTGTTATGTTGAATGTACAGGGAACACTAAGAGATCTTAGTAAAGGAGGAAGGAATATTTCCATTGACCAAACTGAGCCTGTAAGTTTCATGGGAATATTTTCAACTTTACAAATATTTTATTTTACTGCTTGCTCCTTTGGTCAAGAGTGGTTGGATGAATTATAATGGTATATAGGAAACACCTGTTGATGTCAAGCCTTCAATTATGGAAGGGGACTTCTCTGGTAACCAGGATGAACATGTACATATATACTCTTTTCTTGTATTATGATCAAGGTTTTTCAGGTGGTCACATGTTTCTTCCTTCTAACATGATATGAAGTTTATGCAGGGAAATCCTTCAAAGGAAGTCACAGATGGATCCAATAATGCTTCTGTCAACCCAGATGACAAAGTATGTTTTCAGATCCTAACTTGAATTTACATGTTTTATTTTGAAATGAAAATTTACACCAGTTAAAAAAAAATCATGTCATGTACTGCATGTATTTCTTTTATGTGGACTTAGAAGGGAATTATTTGAACAATATACATTTTAGGAGAAAAGACTCCTGATTTTTCCTAATGAATCTCTAATTGAGTCTCTGAAAATCATTCTTAATAAAATGTAAATGTGATTTTTTAACTATTGATGTCTGTCGTACTTCACTTATTTATCAAGTCATGGTGGATATTTTACCATAATTATTGACTTGAAGGCCAAATTCTTGTCCACCACCTCTTTTATATCTATTGGATTCTTGTCTTTGATTATGCCTCCCTTGCTGGGTAGGATTTTTATGGGCATAGGTTCTGAGTAGAGACAATTTCTTAAATTTTATATTTTGTGTTTTAGGTGGATATTTATTTACATATTGAGGCAACTGACCAAGATTCAGCAGAACAATCCTCAGAATTGAAATAGATTATTGATCCAGTCTAATAGGTAATATATTCTCTTTCTTGGTAACTTGCAGTTCCACATGCTGCAGGATTTGCATGAAAGTGCAGAAGATCTTACAAACTCTTTGCCTATGGGGATTGTCCATCCCTTTACAGATGATGATGAACAGGTATAACATTACATTTATTTAGGGAGGTCTATAATAATAGTGTTCACTGCCCAATATCTTGTTTCTGTTCGAAGAAATAGATTCTTGTGAGATTTAAAAAGCTTTGTTTCCTCATAATATAATTCCCACAGCACAATATATTTGTTTAGACAGGGTTCTGCCTTGTTATAGGTGTAATCAGAAATGAAACATTTTGTTTTCTGGTTCACCTTCAAATAAAAGTTCCTATTAAATGGGAACACTTATGATCATATTCAATTCTTCTCGAATAACTTGTAAAAGGGGATTATACTAATTCGTTTCAACTGATACATAATATCACATGCTATAGTTTTGTGATCTGCAGGAACCTCTGGTTGAGCCTGCTAATCCTTCAGATACAGAAACCGACTTTCCTTAGTTTTGATTAGAAGGTTACAATTGGCTTTGCTCCAATAATTTAAAGATATGTGAGTATTAGAAACACTTAATCCAGCTAGTTCCTCTCACGTCTTCGTGCTTCGTACAGGTCAAAGTTTATGATGTTTATATGAAGGCAAACATAGCAGATTGTGAGTTGCCATAGTTAGGAAATCAGTTTGACATTGAATCTTAAGTATAGTAATCAGATATCGACTGGGAAAGACATGCCACTGCTTTCAGGCTGACATTAGAAACTCTGAAAGGTTCTCCTTGGTGATACAAGTGCTGCAATCTGTGTACAATTTGTTAGGAAAACTGCCTGAATTCTTTTACCCGTTTATAATTTGTGATTTGTTTTTTAGGATGATTAGTTTTGCTTGGCTGAGATTTTGTACTTGGCGATATCGTGACCTTAATAGGGGATCAAATTCAAAAAAGAAGGCAGTTCACAATGCTGTAAACGTTGTTTCAATGGCGACTTTGGTCAAAGCCCAAGGGATTGAAGATTTTTGTTAAATTACAAAGCAGTTTCTTGCTTGCTAGGAAACATGTTATTAGGGGAAAGTAGTACGCGGGTGGAAGAGGCGATTGTATTATTTTTTTTTATATTCCCACTAAAACCGAGTATAACGATTTCTGACAAAAAAAAAAAAAAGGGAAGTCCTGACCGTAAGAATCCTGTAGATATCATGAAATATAGAAACTCCAATGGGTTGAAATAGCGGGGAGAGTTTTTCTTCACCATTTTATTTTTTAAATAATTTTAATTATTTTTATATTTAATTTAAAGTGTATTAATCATTTTTAGATAAAGTTTCAGCTAAGCAATGGAAATGATTTTTTCTCGAAATTACATACCAAGGTGTTGAGATCTTTTGGAATTTGTTTATAATGAAATACCATCCGGTTCTTAGTTTACCCACGGACTATGTAGGAAACTGGAGTTACCACGTTAGTATTGACTGATGTTTTTAAGAGCCAAAAAAGTAGCGGTAGACCGGCGATTCGGGACATTAAATAATCTAAAACTCAAGCCAACGAAAAATCTGGGCAATGCTTTTGATTAATCCCGTGGTTAATGACGAGATAAACGCATGTTTGAGATTAAGAAATATACAAGTGGGATTTAAGGCGATCAGTTGGGAAGAAAAAGGTGATTCAAATAGCAACCTTCCACCACCAAAAAGCAACGGCCAGACTTTGACCAAAGAGAGCCAAAAAAGAGGCAATGGCAAGACCAATTTTAATCAAACAGAAGATTAGATCCAATAATGCCTAGGACTATTTAATGTTCAAATGGGATCACACACAGAGAGAGAGAGAGAGAGAGAGAGAGAGAGAGAGAGAGAGAGGAACTTTCACATTTATATCTATTCCAAAATATATTATTTAAATGTATGTACAAAATTATAGTGCTTGGTAGCTCGTATAGTGTATAATTTTTTACCCAATCTACAAAATTTACTAATTTGAACTGCTTGAAGCACTTCTCTTTATCAGGCCAAATAAGCAAAGGTCGCAGAGCAAACATGATCTAACCAGGCGTTCAAAGATCAATCAACATAGGTATCCTCGACCAGTACACCCATAGTCGATAACCAAGCAGGCGCTTCATATTTTTCATGGCTGGTGTCCAGCAATCAGCTTTTGTTTGAAGATCAGCAACATCTCGAGTCTTCCTTATGCAGGGTTGCAGTTACGGTCATCCCTGTTCTTCAGCACAATTAGGTATATTTGCAGATTGCATATTGTTTGCTCCATTCAAGGCCTTCAAGCAATCCCCTTGTGTTTGATGAGAGATGGATTGTCTATTCGTGAAAATCCTCGTAGGGTGAGGATCCACCGGAAGAGTCTGTTTCAAATGGAGTGGTCTCCATTGGATCCATTGGAGATGATGGAAGTGATTCTCTCTGCTGAGAAGATGAACCTGAACCAGAACAAAATCAGTCTACACTTAATCCCTCAATGCCTTCCAGGGAAAACCTCTTAAAATACAACATTGTTTGAAAAAAACTAAAATGAGGAAAACATTTTCTCTTTCATTTTCCATAAAAAATATATATATATATATATATTTATAAAGATGAGAATACATTAAAAGGAAGGAAACCCAAACGTACCTTTCTGTCCTCTTGAACGGAACTTCTTTGTGTGCCTCCTAATAAGTCTCTTAGCTTTGGTTATGGTCAGCTGCCTAGCGAAAGGAGAGAATTCTACATCACTTTCACTCCACTCTCCATGGAAATCATTCTCTGCTTCACCTCTCATAGTTCGTAGCACAAATTGTTTGGCTTTGCGGCGTTGAGTGTTGAAGAGGCCCCTAATGGAAGTAACAAATCCATCACCAGCTCCGTCACTTGGACGCTTAGGGAAGGTTATTGGATTCGGATCAGGTAACCCAACCTGATCATTGTCACTGAGATAGAGGTCACTATCAGGAACACCAGTTCCACTTGGCTGTTGACTATGTGCCTTGTCTTTAAATTTCTTACCCTACCAAATACCAAATAATTAAAAGAACAGTCAGCAGATCTGCTTTACAACCTTTATGGTTTAACAATTAAATTAAACTTCTCTATAGCTTCTCTATACTTTGCAAATACACTTAAAGAACTACAAATTCTAATTACTAGCATTCATTGCCATTCTGTGTTATTGCAATTATTATCATAGTTCATTGTGAGATGAAGCATTACAAATCTCCAAGTCATAATCCATCCAATGGGAGGGAACATGGAGATCAGTAACCTTAAGTAAGAGAAGATTCAGATTAAGAGGATTTTCAAGTAGTTTCACCAGAGTGTCATCAAGATTCCTTACCTGCATTCCAGTTACAGACTTTAGGACTCCCCATATAATATGCTTCTTCACTCGAGAGAACAGTCTCCTCCAAGTCCCAGTGAACTCGACACGGTGAAATGTATCCATCAGCAACTTGAGATCATTTACAACAAATCTGGACCCTTCGTATGTAACTAGTAGTTCAACCTAATGCAGAACAACAGAAATATATGACAATAAGTACCAAACAATGGCAATCAAAAACAAGAGATAACCAATTAAATTTATTGAACCAACCTGACTTATCTTGATATTGTGAAATTCCATCATTTTCCGAGGCCTAGATTTTTTCTCTTCATTGGATTTTCCAACCTTCTTCTCTTCCTGAGATGCTCGACCATACTTAACAGATTTTGTGTCTTTCATTTTATTTTTGGAGGATTCATCTTGCTGCTCAATGGAAACAAATGGCCCACTTTTCGTGGAAGATATGCTGGAGTGAACTTGTTGAACAAGTTCATTAGCCACAGATTCTGCAACAGTTTCTTCCCATGTTCTGTCAAAGGAAGATGTTCTCCTTAACTCAGGGCCAGAACCAGAAACAACATTTGATTTTAGGTCTTGTAACTTTGATGCCTGTATGTGGATTCCAAGAAGAGTTAATGAAAATTACAGCACAGAAGTATAAAGATCCAGTGACTTAAAAAAAATCAATAAGTTGCCATGATACTACAAGGTAGTGAGGGAAACATAAGGATGCTCACTTGGGCAGAATCAGCAGGAACAGGCTGACTGGTAACGGATGTAGAAGACACACTTGGTTTGGATGATACCTCGGACTCCTTTGTTGAGTGGCTGCCTGATGCAGAAGCATCATGGTTTGACAAGCTCTTCTTTGCACGTCTTGCACCAGCTGTGGCAGATAACCAAAATTCCTGCATCTCCAAAGTTCCAAGCATAAGGACACTCACCAATAGCACTAAAAATTTGCTTACAGATTCAAAGATCTGAAGCCCAAACTGACCTGTCGTCTTTGTGAATCTTGTTCTTCTTCTGGGAAGAAATACTCCCACATCATTCTGTACATCGTCTCTGTCAAATGAATCTTAAGGGGGTATATCTCTACCTACAGCATAAAGAAAAAGCTTGTCTCAACTTCTATTAATAGTAGTTCATCAAAGCTACAAATGCTTCAAAGATCGAACATGAAATAGGACAAAGTACTATCTTAACTGTATGCTAAACACTGAGGGAAAAGCTCCCCCACAATCCACTGCTAAATGCATGATGCTATTATGCTCTTGCATTCACTGCAATAGACAACTATGTACAAGACCCTAGCAGCTCAATCGTTAAACACTCTCTCAAACTCGGTTCACATACATGCTTGAGGAATCAAGGGCCAAAGGATGATCACCAAGATCCTCTCTTCTTTGTCTACCTCATATCTTGTTTGCTCTTCTCAATCTTATGTCTCCATGATTGCTGACAGTTTTTTATGTTTAAATATGTATGCTTATGTTGATACATCAATCCAGATGTCATCTTATATCCTGCATGCACTTATTTTGATCATATTCACAGCACCAATCTAGTTATGATCGCTCATGCAGCTATAACAACCTTTTCACTTACCTTTTAGTTCCATTATTCCTCATCTAGCCTGTAAGACAAACTCTTAGGAGTAAAGAGGGAAGACTAACAAAATATGAGATTTTGCAATACCTCTGTCTAAAAGCATAATAGTTACCATATCTTCTACACAGAGATCCCATGCGTATCTATAGTATATAGACATTGGGATGCACATAAAAAATGTAATCAAAGTTCAAATGAGGACATGGACCCAACTAGAACAAACTTATGAACAATGTCATTGGTTAAATCAATTTACAATCAGTTAACTCACATGCAGGACTGAGAGCTATATCAAGGCTAACAATGGTTTCATATGTTGTGTATTAAAGTCATTCTACATTCTAAAAATACACACACATAAACAATGAATTCGAAAAGAAAACAAGAAAACTGAATTTTACCTGAAAAAGCTCCAGAGGAGAGTTTCCATCCCCCGGAGCTCCCTGCTTTGCATCCACACGAAGCATGACTTTTCTGCAACAAGGAAAGTTGATATCATGATTTTCTAAAGAATTTTTACAACATTTGCTGAGGTATCTAATCCAAACTCTTCCCACAGATATTTCGAAATGAAAATATATCAGAGACAGAGAGAACAATCCCTGCTACCCCACACAACCACATGAATGACCACAAGTATTGGCATAACTTCGGTAAGCCAGTTTTTTTCTTAAAAAAATTGATAACATTCGCAAAAAGATAAAGCAAGTTTCTAATTGCAGAAAGGTATCATAAACATTGAGGCAAAACCAGTGGACCATTAGATAAAAGTAAAATATAGGAGTAGGTTCTTATTTAAGCATGGGAATTGAGGGCGTTGAGATGAGGCAAGCTGTCAATATAACTATAAAACCTAAAAAAAGGGGAAAGAAATTAAGTATTCATAAAGTAGTCTCAACTAATTACAAATAGAAAAACACCTAAAGGCATGAGAAAGAAACAGAGTCAAGGAAAAGTACGTACTTTCCCCATTCTGGAGGAGGATTCCACGGTGATAAAAGCATATCAGACTGGGCATTACGCAAGCAGTCTTTCACAACAAAATACTTAGTA